GTGCCCAAACAGGTAAAGAATGTGAGCGAAGCCAAACAGCAAAAATTAATATGTTTTTACACTAATGCGAGGAGCCTAGGTAACAAAATGGAGGAACTAGAGCTACTGATGCAGGAAGTGAAACCAGATATTATAGGGATAACAGAACATGGTGGAATAGTAGTCATGACTGGAGTACGGGTATTGAAGGGTATGTGCTGTTTAGGAAAAACAGAAATAAAGGCAAAGGTGGTGGAGTAGCATTGTATATCAATGATGAAGTAGACTGTAAAGAAATAAGAAGTGATAGAATAGATAAGACAGAGTCTGTCTGGGCAAAAATCACATTGGGGAAGAAAGCTACTAGAGCCTCCCCTGGGATAGTGCTTGGGGTGTGCTATAGACCACCGGGATCCGGATTTGGATATGGATAGAGCCCTCTTTAATGTTTTTAAAAGACGTAAATACTAATGGGAATTGTGTGATCATGGGAGACTTTAACTTCCCAGATATAGACTGAAGGACAAGTGCTAGTAATAATAATAGGGCTCAGATTTTCCTGGATGCGATAGCTGATGGATTCCTTCACCAAGTAGTTGCTGAACTGACAAGGGGGGATGCCATTTTAGATTTGGTTTTGGTGAGCAGTGAGGACCTCATAGAAGAAATGGTTGTAGGGGACAATCTTGGTTCGAGTGATCATGAGCTAATTCAGTTCAAACTAAGGATAAACAAAAATAGATCTGTGACTAGGGTTTTTGATTTCAAAAATGCTAACTTTAAAAAATTAAGGAAATTAGTTAGGGAAGTGGATTGGACTGAAAAACTTTTGGATCTAAAGGTGGAGGAGGCCTGGAGTTACTTCAAGTCAAATTTGCAGAAACTATCAGAAGCCTGCATCCCAAGAAAGGGGAAAAAATTCATAGGCAGGAGTTGTAGACCAAGCTGGATGAGCAAGCATCTCAGAGAAGTGATTAAGAAAAAGTAGAAAGCCTACAAGGCGTGGAAGATGGAAGGGATTAGCAAGGAAAGTTACCTTACTGAGGTCAGAACATGTAGGGATAAAGTGAGAAAGGCCAAAAGTCATGTAGAGTTGGACCTTGCAAAGGGAATTAAAAGCAATAGTAAAAGGTTCTGTAGCCGTATAAATAAGAAGAAAACAAAGAAAGAAGAAGTGGGACCGCTTAACACTGAGGATGGAGTGGAGATTAAGGATAATCTAGGCATGGCCCAATATCTAAACAAATACTTTGCCTCAGTCTTTAATGAGGCTAACGAGAATCTTAGGGATAATGGTAGGACGATAAATGGGAATGAGGATATGGATTTAGATATTGCCACATCCAAGGTAGAAGCCAAACTCCAACAGCTTAATGGGACTAAATCGGGGGGCCCTGATAATCTTCATCCAAGAATATTAAAGAAACTGGCACATGAAATTGCAAGCCCATTAGCAAAAATTTTTAATCAATCTCAGAGGTTGTACCATATGACTGGAGAATTGCTAACATCATTCCTATTTTTAAGAAAGGTAAAAAAAGCGATCCGGGTAACTACAGGCCTGTTAGTTTGACATCTGTAGTATGCAAGGTCTTGGAAAAAATTTTGAAGGAGAAAGTAGTTACGGACATTGAGGTCAATGGTAATTGGGACAAAATACAACATGGCTTTACAGAAAGTAGATTGTGTCAAACCAACCCAATCTCCTTTTTGAGAAGGTAACAGATTTTTTAGACAAAGGGAACTCAGTGGATCTAATTTACCTCGATTTCAGTAAGGCATTTGATATGGTTCTACCTGGAGAATTATTAGCTAAATTGGAAAAGATGGGGATCAATATGAAAATTGAAAGGTGGATAAGGAACTGGTTAAAGGGGAGACTACAGTAGGTCACACTGAAAGGTGAACTGTCAGACTGCAAGGAGGTTATTAGTGGAGTTCCTCAGGGATCAGTTTTGGGACCAATCTTATTTAACCTTTTTATTACTGACCTTGTCACAAAATGTGGAAATGTGCTAATAAAGTTTGTGGATGACACAAAGCTGGGAGGTATTGCCAATACAGAGAAGGACCGGGATATCATACAGGAAGATCTGGATGACTTTGTAAACTGGAGTAGAAAGTAATAGGATGAAATTTAATAGTGAAAAGTGCAAGGTTATGCATTTAGGGCTTAATAAGAATGTCTGTTATAAACTAGGGGTGCATCACTTGGAAATAACAGAGGAGGAGAAGGACCTCTATTGGTTGATCTGAGGATGACTATGAGCTGCTAATCTGATATGGCCGTGAAAAAAGCTAATGCGGTCTTGGGATGCATCAGGAGAGGTATTTCCAGTAGAGATAAAGGAGGTGTTAGTACCGTTATACCTGTGGTTCTCAAACTAAGGGAACTGCTTGTTCAGGGAAAGCCCCTGGTGGGCTGGACCAGTTTGTTTACCTGCCACATCCCGAGGTTCGGCCAATCGCGGCTCCCACTGGCTGCAGTTCACCGCTCCAGGCCAATGGGAGCTGTGGGAAGCAGCGCGGGGCAAGGGATGTGCTGGCCACCTTCCTGCAGCACTCATTGGCCTGGAGCGGCGAACCGCGGCCAGTGGGAGCCGCGATCAGCCGAACCTGCGGACACAGCAGGTAAACAAACCGGCCCGGCCCGCCAGGGGCTTTCCCTGAATAAGCGGTGCCCCTAGTTTGAGAATCAGTGTGTTATACAAGGCACTGGTGAGACCTCATCCAGAATATTGTGTGCAGTTCTGGTCTCCCATGTTTAAGAATGACAAATTCAAACTGGAACAGGTACAGAGAAGGGCTACTAGGATGATCTGAGGAATGGAAAACCTGTTTTATGAAAGGAGACTCAAAGAGCTTGGCTTGTTTAGCCTAACTAAAAGAAGGCTGAAAGGAGATATGATTGCTACCTATAAATATATCAGAGGGATAAATACCACGAGGGAGAAAAATTATTTAAGCTCAGTACCAACGTGGACACAAGAACAAATGGATATAAACTGGCCATCAGAAAGTTTAGACTTGAAATTAGATGAAGGTTTCTAACCATTAGAGGAGTGAAGTTCTGGAACAGCCTTCCAAGGGAAGCAGTAGGGGCAAAAGACATATCTGGCTTCAAGACAAAGCTTGATAAGTTTATGGAGGAGAGGATATGATGGGCTAGCCTAATTTTGGCAATTAACTGATCTTCGACTATTAGTGGTAGATATGCCCAATGGCCTATAATGGGATGTTAGATGGGATGGGATCTGAATTAGTACAGAGAATTCTTTCCTGGGTGTCTGGCTGGTGAGTCTTGCCCACATATTTAGGGTTTAGCTGATCGCCATATTTGGGGTCAGGAAGGAATTTTCCCCCAGGGTAGATTGGTAGAGGCCCTGGAGGTTTTTCGCCTTCCTCTGCAGTGTGGGGCATGGGTCACTTGCTGGAGGATTCTCTGCACCTTGAAGTCTTTAAACCACGATTTGAGGACTTCAGTAACTCAGACATCAGTTAGGGGTTTGTTACAGGAGTTGGGGGTGAGATTCTGTGGCCTGCGTTGTGCAGGGGGTCAGACTAGATGATCATAATGGTCCCTTCTGACCATAAAATGTATCATCCAATTACAGGATTGGAGTCTTAGGCTTTGTCTACACTAGAAAAGGTTTGCTAACATAACTGTCCTGGCAGACCCTCCTAGTGTAAACACAGCTTATACTGGCATGGTGCTTTTGCTTGCTACACCAGTAGAATTGTTCTAGCCTAGACAAGGCCTAAGCTACATCTGCACTTCGAGTAAACATACTCAAAGAGAGCCATTTATGCATGCCTACTCTGTACAGAAGGATTGGTGACAGTGGGCGGGGGATAGCTGTCTCTTCTGCACCACCCCTTCCAGGGACCTCACTGAGGCTTCTCTGAAGGTCAAAGGGTCAGGCTCCTGAAAAGGACATGGAAACCAAGACCTTGTTATCGTAATGTCTATTTCTTAGAGAGGCATTTCATCAGTAACCTTCCAAGCGCTTTACAATGTTTCATCTACCTATTTTCACCACACTGCTGTGAGGCAGGGCTGTGCTTTTATCCCCACTTTCCGATGGGGAACCGAGACACAGAAAAGCTAAGTGACTTGCCCAAGGGCACTCAGAAAGCCCACGGCAGAACAAAGACTCCCTGGCCTCTTTTCCTTCACAGGCCAGCACCACAACCACCTGCACAGCCTCTTGCTCCACTGAAGAGAGGGGCTACGGGGAAAGGTATAAGCACAGCGGTGAGGCATGGATTTTGGTTTTTTGGCTGGTGGAGCAACAGTCCTTTAAGTTTTAGATACAGACCAGGCTATAGTTTCCGTTTCCTTTTTGAGACCAGAAAATCCTCCCCAAACAGAGGATGATGGGGCCATGGAGCTGCATTTCCGGGCTCTTTAAGGCCTCAGTTCAGGAAGGTACTTAATACTCCTGGGGGAATTCTTTGCCAAAAAATTAAAAATGCTGCATGTTTTATTTGTCAAAATAATGCAGTATAATCACACTGGTTTCGATAATATAGGTAATTTATTTCAACTACAATACAATTTATAGAGAATGGGAGTAGGGAGCACTGGAGGAAATCGCCAAACCCCTTTGTCTAATAGTAATGTTGCTAGGTTTGATCCTTTACTTCTAGTTATTAGTCAACAAATAAATACATAAAGTCATATGCTCAGTGTTACATCATAGGCAACTGAAAAGCAAGTGAGCGCTGGGGAATCAAACTCAATTTATATTGGCTACTGACCAACTCCAGAAAGGTCAGTAGCAAACACTTCTCGGAGCACATTCTGATGGGAAATTTTTTCACTCCAAAAATTTAGACCAGTTCTAATCACTAAAGCAGCATAAGCATTTGTAAGGCCATACTGTCCTTTACACCACTCTGGCAAAGTAAAGGAGCCTTAAAATGTTTACACCTGTTTTATACTCCTGCGGGAATTCACAAAGACAATGGGAACAATTCACTAAGCAGGCAGGCTGCTCCATTCTGTTCTGCCTGTGGAGCCAGAGCCTGCCCCATGCCTACCTCCTCAGAAACACCCAAAGCCCTGCTCTTGCACATTGAGCATACTGCAATAGCGAGTGAGAGGGACAGTGTGTGTGTGTGTGTGTGTGTCTCACACTCACAGCTCAGTGCCCCCCTCCTCCCGGCGGTGATTTAGGTCTCTACCAGCTGCTCCTGGTGCCCAAACCGCACTGTTTGCACTGCTGGGGAGGGGCACGTGACCACTCTTGCTTCCCTTTGCTTCCCCATCAGAAGTCATTTTTCTGTGGGGAAGCAAAGAAATCTGCAGGAGACATGAATTCTGCAGCAGTGACGCAGAATTCCCCCAGGAGTATACTTCAGTGCATGCATAGCACCGTTACAATCAAGAGTACTCATGTGTTCCCAGTCAGGCAGGTGCTTCAGTCCCTTGCTGAACGGGAGCCTGAGGACTACAGCTCCCATCATACACCAAGGGCACAAGACTACAGTTCCCATCATGCATCAGGGTAGGGGGAAAGACGACAACATCGAACTCCAGCATGGATAAATGCTCTAACTCCCATGATGCCCCTGTGAGAGCCAAGGTGCCCTTCGGCCGTGAGCTGGAGACGCGAAAACCCGTCAGGCCCTGCGCGCAGGACTCCATTTCCCGTTATGCACCGGGCCACACTCTCTCGCTATCGGCCGGAGAGCGTCCACGGCGCATGCGCGCTCCTTCCGCGCTTGTGGAGTTGGTGGTGTGACGCCATCTTGTCACGGTCTCAGCCAGCGGTGTGTAAGCGCTGGGGGAGGAGGGGTCTGTCTCTTAAAGGGGACACGGCCCCAGAGTGGGCCCTCCCCTCCTCGGGGTAAGCTCAAGGATAGGGGTGAAGGGCTCGGGGGTACGGAGCGGGGCCCGGTGCTGCCCCAACGCCCATATCCCGCGCTGTGCCCCGACGGGCCCACTTTAAGGTACCACGGCGGAAAAAACGCAAGAGGCAGTTGGGGAGGGGGGAAGCAAAGGGGGATTCGCGCGCGCCCCCACCTCTCGCTACACAACGGCCACTCCTGCCGCGCGCCTCGCTCTAATTGGCCAGAGGCGTCCGGCGGGAAGCGCGGCTTGAGGGAAGGGGAGGGTGATCCGGGCCGTGGGGATAGAGGAGAGGGCCCCGGTGGAAGAGGGCAGGAGCAGGGCTCTGACGGGGCAGAGGCGGGGTTGAGGGAAAGGGGCGGGGCTATGGTGGTGGGGACGGGGTGGTGGGTGGAGCTGAGGCGGGGCTCTGTTGAGAGGAACAGGGGTGGGTCTGAGAAGGGGAGGGGCGGGGCTGATGAATACTGGAGGGACTATGGTGATGGGGGGGTTGAGGAAAAGGGGATGGGCTGTAATGGGTGGGTCAGGATGGGTCGAAGGAATAGGGGTGGGGCGGTGGGCGGAGCTGAGGAGGGGCTTTGGTGGGAGGGACCGGGCAGCACTGAGGGGCCATGGAGGGGGGAGGGCAGCCAGTGTGGGGTGGCAGCTCTAGGGCTGTATGGTTCATGGGCAGCCCAGGGCCGATGTGGCTCACTGCCCCCTGTATCTGTCTCAGTGTACCTGGTGCAGGATAGGTGTGGGGCCTGGCCCTGGGTTTGTTCAGGGAATGTTACTGGGGCAGGCTGGAGTGGGGCATTGGGTACCACTGTCCCCCATGTGGTGAGAAGGGCAGGGCACAGTGGGTCCCAGGGATGCATTGCGGGGAGCAGCAAGTCAAGGGCACTGAAAAAGGAACAAATAGATCGATTTACTCCTTTGGTGGGAAAGGGGTTGGGTATTATTGATTAAACTGATTACTTTTAGACAAACTAATACAGCAGGAGAGGGAAGAGGCCTTTGAGAATGTCTCTGGGAGGCTTGTCCCCCACACCCCTTATCCCCCTGGACCCTAACGATGTGATAGTCCCTTTTCCTTCCCACCCTCAGACCCTTTTCTTCTTGGGATATTCCCCTTGCCTTTTCCTGACTTACCCATCTCACCCCCCACACTATTTCTTTTGTTGGGTACAGTCTTTACTAGTTGAGTTCTCAAATGCTTTCCTCACCCCCAGTAATGCCCTAGTTGGACTCACTGTCCTCTGTATCTGTCTCAGTGTGCCTCCCACTGCACCACAGACAGGATCTCTGCCCCACTCCCTCTGTGCAGCCCTAAGGGGTTTGCAGCTCACTCCCTAGTCTCTTTCTCCCCACTCCCAGGTGGGCAGCATCCTTGGTGGGAGGATGGAGCAGAGGCGGCAGGGCCGCCAGCAGGCCTCTGAGTGTATCCGCAAACAGAAGCGCAAGGAGCTGGACGCCCGGCGCAGCAAGTGCCGCATCCGCATCGGGGGCCACCTGGAGCAGTGGTGCCGGCTCAAGGAGCAGCTGGGATTCTCCCTGCACTCCCAGCTGGCCAAGTACCTGATCGACCGGTGAGGAGTGAGAGGGAGGGATGGGAGTACTGGTCCCACAGCAGGGGCCAGGATGTGGGAGATAGGTCCTATGGGAGGAGAAGGAAGTGGAGGGGGGGCTCTGTAGAATGGACATAGGAGACCCTTGATTTCTTTCACAGTCCACCTCCCACACACCTTCCCCTAACAGGGCCGACCCTCCTCACAGCCCCCATTTCCCCACAGAGCCCCTTGTGCAACCCTCCCAGAACCTCACAGGTTCCTGCTGTCCCAATCATGCCCCCACCAATTACCCTGACAAGCTCCAATATGTCCTTTCCCCCAATTTCCCCCATTGCACCCTAACTGGCGTCTGACCTTGATGCCTGTCCCATGTGGTGGTTGAGATTTTGGGGTGGGCTGATGGAGGTCATGGAGCAGGTTCCCTTTTGTCTTCTGGGTGGATGGGCTCAGCCAGGGGGTGCAGGATCTGTGTTTTCAGGGTTCCCTCCCTGCCCCTCGCTGTTCACTCAATATCTCACCTTCTGTCCCCACCTCTCTCTGCTGCAGGTACACTTCACAGGGCTGCGTCCTGAGTGCAGGTAGGCACCTCTCCTGCCCAAATGGGGTCTCTGTGACTCTGCACGCACTTCTCCTTGTGGGGAGGGGTATGCAGCTTTGAGTGTCCTTCTAAAAAGGGAGGTGCAGTGGGGGAATCCCCCTTTAGTGACAGTCATGTCAGGGAGAAGGATTACATGGTGGGGGTAGACTGTGCTTCAGCCCCAGTGGTGCTGGGTTATATGACTGGGCATGATGGGGGGATCACCTTGTGTTTGGGGCACTAACTCTCTATACCCCCTTGTGGCTCAAGTCTATGGTTTAGCAGTAGCACCTAGTGGCTCAAGTCTGGGTTGGCAGCGGGGGAACCTAGACCCACCGCTCCACTTGGTTTTGACCCTGGGGCTGGTAATTCAAGGGTATCACTAAGTCTGCTCCCTAGGTTTCTTCCTCCAGTGCCCCCTGCCTCTCTAGAGCCCCAGTGAGGGCCTGGTTATTGACTTGCAACACGTACTCAACTGCAAGGGGTCCGGAGATTCCTCACCCTCACTCTGCTGTCTCTGTGATGGTGGCCTGCAGCTCCATATTGAGGTCTTCTTCAGGCAGTATGGAACTCCTGCTGTATCCCTGTAGGAGCTACCTGGGAAGGTCTGCTCCCTTGCACTGACCACCCAGGCTGAGCTGTGCAGTGCCCTTTCAAGCTCCATGTGCATTGTGAGCACACCCAACAGATGAAGCTGGGTGGAGCCTCCAGGGCCCACAGATGGTCCTTAACCCTCTGTTCCCCAGCATAGGGTTTGTACATCCCATCACAGGGGGTTAGAGTTAATTAGGGGGGTGGTGCTCTGGCGCCCTGTCATGGAGTTCAGAGTACAATCCAGACCAGTAAGAGGTTGTGTCCCACTTGCCCTGCAACCTGGGTGTCCTACAGTGCTTTGCAGCATAGATGCCGACTCCGTGGGAGCTCCGGGGCTGGAGCACCCATGGGGAAAAAATTAGTGGGTGCTCTGCACCCACCGGCAGCCAAGCTCCCCTCCCCGCCCCACCTCCACCTCCTCCCCTGAGCATGCCTGCATCCCTGCTCCACCTACCTCGTAGCACTTGCTGGCACAAAACAGCTGTTTTGCAGCATAACAAGCTCTAGGAGGGAGGGGGAGGAGGCGGGGAAGAAGCGGGCCAGGGCAGGGATTTGAGGAAGGGGTTGGAATGGGGGTGGGGCAGGGGTGGAGTCGGGGCGAGGCTGGGGGCAGAGTGGGGTTGGGCGCCTATGCTTTGCAGTGCACAGCCTGGGATGCTCACAGCCACCCTACAAGCATGCCCTGTAGTAGAAAAAGGGACCCGCTCCGGCCCCTGGTTTGGAGCAGGTGCCCCATCCTTCCTTATGGCATATGAGTGCAGCATGACCACTAGCTCCGTTTGCTTCTGATCAGCTGCTGAAAGACCTCACTGTGCATACAGCTCTTTTGATTGCTTCTTGGTGAGCTCAGCATCTGCTTCTTTTCTCCTACTGCCTTTTCTGCTTGTGACTCATCTTTATGCTTTCCTTTGTTCTATTTCCTTCCCTGAAATAAACAGAAAATAATAAAACAGTAACCTTTCTTTGACTTTCCCCAGCCTTTTCACCTGAAAAATACTTAAAACTATTCTACTAGTGCTTGGAGTGCAAACCTCAGTTAAAATAGCAAGCTGTGTATAAATCTTATTTCGCCTACTCCACTGTCAAAGGGTTGGGTGTGATCCAGACCAGTAAGGGGTTGTGTCACCGCTTGTCCTGCAACCCTGGGTCCTGTACAGTGCTTTGCTGCTGCATCCCACAGCCTAGGATGCTCACAGCCAGCCTACAAGTATACAGTTACACCCTGAGTGTCTGTGTGCTAGACAGCCTGGGTTCAGCAACTCTGACCCCAGCAGCGAGTCTACAGCCCTACTCTGTCTTCCACCAGTCTTGGTTACAACCAGCAAGTTGAGCCCAACACTCTCCCAGTCCTGAATTTTCCCAAAACTATGTGCTCTGCAATGTCCAGCCCTCTCCTGGACAGTTCAGAGAAATAATGGTCAGCTTATTCCTTTAAAGAGACAAAAGTACATCACAGTTTATTAACCAGGATAAATAAACTCTTCCCTGCAAACAGCACTGAGTTGGTTTATAATAAAAATCAAACAAGTTTATTAGCAGGACATAGGTTAAGTGATGCCAAGTGAAAGGAATAAAGTTAGAAAGGGAAATAAGCAAATAAAAGTGAAAACATGGATTGAAAAGTCTAAAACTGAATCTAGCGAGGGACAGGCTTTGTTCAAAATGTTTTTTCTCACCAAGCTTCCTTCTTCAAAGCCGTGGTTCACTTTCCCTCAGTCAGGACCTTCCACAGAAGTACAAGATATTGGCTTTCCTTGTCTCCCTAGGTGAAAGATCTTTGCCTAAGCAGGTTTGTCGCTTATACTCAGTTTCCAGAGACTTCAACCCCTCCCTTGGTTGAAGGGCCCATCTTTCTCAGCTTGTAAGAGTTCTGTTCCCTTGTGTCTGTCTAGTGATGGGATGGCAGGCATGGCTTCTCTCTTTGATTATATCTTCCAAAGTTCAATGACTTTGTGTCAAGAGGCAGAGTGACCTCACAGTGTTCTTTCCATCCTGTGGACTTCCCATCCCCCTGCTGATTTCTATGTAAATAGGGCTTCCATTGTTTTTGGTCACAGCTTGCTTAATTTCACTCTAAACAGGTAGACAGCTACCTTAGCTCCTGTCTGGATGGGGACCTGTTTCTCCCTGTTTGACTACAGACTTTAAAGCATGATATCATTAAGTATCCATATTTTCTCATATTGTGTTTATACATACATTTCACAATGATATTACCAGTTTACCAGTGTGTCACTAGCTTTTAGAAAAGACCTCACTCTATGCACTTTTAACAAATTTAATAATTTTAATAAGAAAATGTTGAAGTAAAAAGAAGATTCTGGTTATCAGGGAATAAGGTACAGATTATCAAGGGGTGCGAAATTCGGTTTAGGAAATGGGTGGCGTAAGGAATACATAATCTGCAATCTCCCCGATTTGGGGTAAAAGTTTAACAGGTCAAAGTACAGACATTGAGATATGGGGGTATGTTGTTCATATAATGGCTATGTTCAGGTATGGAGTATAATGAGTGGATACGATGATGAGGATGGATTTACCCTCATTTGGTGGGATTTAATGTTCAATGAGTTTATGGTTCCAGTTCATATGGTCTAATGGAAAAAGTCTCTCAGTCCCTTTCCCATAGTTGATGCATGATGTCATACTGGCTCACACCTCCTGGTACTGTCGGTAAAATTGTGTACAATCAGTTGATTCAATTGCTTATCACTTGAGGTTCAAACACCCCCAACCCCACCTTTATAGATCAGTGAACTTGGCAATATATTTTTTGAAAAGTAAAACCCGGACCAAGCTTCTCTCTCCTGCTTGGGCATAGACCCCATGCTCTCTCTTCCCCCACTTGTTGGCTTGATAGCTTTGGGTATTTGATATGTAAATAGACCTTCATTGTCTCTCACTGACAGCCTGGCTGCTGTTCAGAGAAACAAACACATTCCTTTGTCTAGGGCAGACCTATTTACAGCTCCCCCTGACATGTCTCATTTAAACATACTTTAGTCACAATTCTAGTCTATATCCATAACTCTTAATACACATCGCGTCCATACATCACACAAGAATATTAGTGATCAGTGAGTTATTAGTTTTCAAATGATACCTCATAAGGCATATGTTGTACAAAGGTTATTCCAGTAGTGTGCAGTGTATGAATACAGGTTTCAGAGTAACAGCCGTGTTAGTCTGTATTCGCAAAAAGAAAAGGAGTACTTGTGGCACCTTAGAGACTAACCAATTTATTTGAGCATGAGCTTTCGTGAGCTACAGCTCACTTCATCGGATGCATACCGTGGAAACTGCAGCAGACTTTATATACACACAGAGAATATGAAACAATACCTCCTCCCACCCCACTGTCCTGCTGGTAATAGCTTATCTAAAATGATCATCAAGTTGGGCCATTTCCAGCACAAATCCAGGTTTTCTCACCCTCCACCCCCCCACACACAAATTCACTCTCCTGCTGGTAATAGCTCATCCAAAGTGACAACTCTCTACACAATGTGCATGATAATCAAGTTGGGCCATTTCCTGCACAAATCCAGGTTCTCTCACCCCCTCACCCCCCTCCAAAAAACACACACACAAACTCACTATCCTGCTGGTAATAGCTCATCCAAAGTGACCACTCTCCCTACAGTGTGCATGATAATCAAGGTGAGCCATTTCCAGCACAAATTCAGGTTTTCTCACCCCCCCACCCCCATACACACACAAACTCACTCTCCTGCTGGTAATAGCTCATCCAAAGTGACCTCTCTCCCTACAATGTGCATGGTAATCAAGGTGGGCCATGTCCAGCACAAATCCAGGCTTTCTCACACACCCCCCAAGTCATTATGCAAGGTAGCCTATTTCCCCTTGTTTTTTCCTACCCCCCCGATGTTCTGGTTTAACTTGGATTTAAACTTGGAGAGTGGTCCGTTTGGATGAGCTATTGCCAGCAGGAGAGTGAGTTTGTGTGTGTGTGTCCCTGGGGGGGGGGGAAGGGGGGGGTGTGAGAAAGCCTGGATTTGTGCTGGACATGGCCCACCTTGATTACCATGCACATTGTAGGGAGATGTATCAGAGGAACAGCCGTGTTAGAAAAAAAAAAAGGAGGACGCACTGGACCAAAAAACTAATCTATTTGAATTTGAGGGAGGGCCCCAGCGCCCATCCCCTCTTAAAAGGGAGGTGTAGCTCAAAAACCACTCACCCAAAAATATGTTTGGGTTTCTAAGGTGCCCCAAGTACTTCTTTTTTTGTAGGAGAGTGGTCACTTTGGATGAGCTATTACCAGCAGGAGAGTGAGTTTGTGTGTGTATGGGGGTGGGGGGGTGAGAAAACCTGAATTTGTGCTAGGAAATGGCCCACCTTGATTATCATGCACATTGTAGGGAGAGTGGTCACTTTGGATGGGCTATTACCAGCAGGAGAGTGAATTTGTGTGTGGGGGGGTGGAGGGTGAGAAAACCTGGATTTGTGCTGGAAATGGCCCAACTTGATGATCACTTTAGATAAGCTGTTACCAGCAGGACAGTGGGGTGGGAGGAGGTATTGTTTCATATTCTCTGTGTGTATATAAAGTCTGCTGCAGTTTCCACGGTATGCATCCGATGAAGTGAGCTGTAGCTCACGAAAGCTCATGCTCAAATAAATTGGTTAGTCTCTAAGGTGCCACAAGTACTCCTTTTCTTTGTATGAATACAGGTGTGCTTAGAGTCACACGACCAGGAAGTTGGGTTATGGGGGAGGAGGGGTTGGTGCTGTGGCTCCCTTAGGGGTAGGATTATATGGAGAGGTTGGGGTAAATGTTGGGATGGTGCAGTGTCCCCCGTGGGTTCTTGGGTTACAGGCAGGGATAGACAGGTTATATGGTGCTAGGGGAACCCTGTGGTTTACATGTGGTTTCCCTCTCTCTCCCCCAGGGCAGGGTGGCTCAGATCCCAGCGCCCTCCCCACGGATGCCCTGCAGCGCCTGGTCGTCCTGTCTCATGTTCACAGCCAGGAGTGCAGCTTTATCCCCAATGTGAAGACCCCCTCACCAGGAGACAAAGGAGCCCCAGGAAGTCTAGTGTGGGAGTGCATGGCTGGACACACCTTCTCCTGGGGCCCCCCTGCACCGGAAGAGCAGCCACCGGGAGGTAGCTCACAGCCCGACAAAGCCACTTCCCAACGCAAGGAAAGAGGAGCCAGCTCAGGGCCCAGCCCACCACCTTCCCCAGTTACCAGCCGCAGGCGCTCGCTCCGCAGGGCAGCGCTTGCCCAGGACTCCTCTGGGAAGGTGGTTAAGGTGGAGCCCAACCCCCTTGGGAACAGTGCAGTGGTGGAGAGAATGGCAGCTCCATCATCTACCAGCAGCATGGACCACGGTGGAGAGCTAGGAGAAGGGAACACAGACACTGACGCAGGTGAGGGAGTGAGCAGGACCCCCCCTGTTCCCGGATCCCCATGCAAGCATGTGGTGGCACAATGGATGCAGCTGACCAGTCTTCTCTTTCCCAGGGCCCCACAACCTTCTCCTCCTGTCCAGCCAAAACTGGGATTCCTCCTCCCTCTCTCCACTGGTCCTTGATTTCTTTTGCCCCGTTGACTCCAAACCCCCATGGCACTCCCAGCCAGGCTAGCTGGCTCCCCCCGTACATTGGAAATACAAGTTCAGATAGCCCTTCCTCGACCCTACATCACCCCCTCCCTATCTGAAAGTGATCAGCTAGACCCTGTTAAGCAAACGAGCAACCCATGAGTCTTAGCTCCATCCATAGTGATGATAGGGATCCTGTAATAATAACCACCCTCCTCTAAACTAGTCCCTATCCCCCTACATTTGCCCCCACGCCTGGACAGTACAGGAGCCTGACACCAGACCCTGACCATCAGTCAGCAGATTCAGGCCCCTTCGAGTCAAGAGGAGAAATGAGTTAAAGAGGCAGGGACCCACTTTGCCAGACCCCAACACCCAAATGTTCCCATCATTGGCATCCCAGGCCCCATCACATTACAGCTTCAGGACTAACCATTTACCCTAAAACCAGGCTGAAGCCTTGGACGGTTCAGAGATTTAAGTCAGTTACAGAGACAAGGGTGGGTCACTGAGTCCCGGGGCCCCGTTCCAGGAATGTGGGTAGGTCTCCTTTTTGTTACGTCTTTTAACTGTGTTGTAACCGACCATGTCACTGGCTTGAAGTGAGGATGTGGCCTTAGTGAAAGCACCCAGCGTGTCCCTGCTATTCATGGGGAGAGAGGCAGGTCTTTTTAGTGACAAGGGCCCAAGTTCCATGGAGAACTTTTCAGATCCACATCTGTCCTGGGAGTGAATTGGGAGCCAGGGCAGGCATCCTATGCTATTCACGCTGTTGACCTAGTTGGCAGGTGTATCCTGCTTTCTGTGAAGCTTTCAAATGTAGTCGTCCAGCTTGCAGGTCCCGAGGGGAGGGTTGGCTGTGGGTGTCCCCCAGCTGTGGAGAAACGAGGGCAGATGTCCAGCCAAGCACATCTGAGGTGCTGGAACACAGAAACTGCCAGAACAGATAAGACCAGGGTCCACCTAGCTCTTTATTCCTCAGTGACCAGTATCAGGTGCTTCATAGGAGGGGCAAGAAACCCTCTATTGGACAATTATGGAACAACTTGTTTATAGTTTCTTCCTAGTCCCCTTTCTCTGGCCTGTTAGTGGTTGGTTTATACCCTGAATGAGGATTTAGTTCCCTTCCTCGGGGCCTTCTCACTTCGCATTCCTCTGTCCTCCCAAACCCTTCCTGCAACCTCTCTCCCACAACTGCACCTTCCTTCCCCGTCCCTTCTCTGCAGATCTCAGCTTCATGGTTCCATTTCACCCTTCAACTGACTGCACCTAGTTTCTCTCCCCACAGCTCCCCTGGCAGAGGCAGAGGCTGGCATGGAAGGGATAGAGCCGGAGAGGTGAGTGACGGTGGCTCTTCTCCCATCATCTGTCCCTGGTGCTCACCTATCCCCTGCGCGTATGCTCCCGGGACTAGAGAGGAGCTGTCCTGTATCCCCAGCAGTGCAATGACCCAGAGTCACTCCCGTCTGACAACATCCGGTATGAAATTAACTGTTGAGTTCTCAAGCCAGTTCCCAGTGGGACAGTCTTGCCCCATCCCTATTATTACGCATCAGCGCTGTTGTGAACAGCTTCAGCAGAGAGACCAGTGACTGACAGGGACATGTAGACAGGATGGCCATCAGGCTGTGAGGAGAGATGGTGGGATCAGGACCCACAGAGCCCTCAGAGATTTCCCCGTCAGAGCCATGGCTCAGGGAGATGCGCTTCCGTCCAACCTCCTCTCTTGACATCTGATTCTTGCAGTGCACCAGGATTGGAGGATAAACCAGAGGAGGTGCCTGACCCCAAAGAGGAAGAGGACGAGGATGAAGACTTCACCGAAGAAGATGACCTCACTTACACGGATGACCTGCGCGATAAGAATTACCACCCCTCGTTGGACAGGTAAGGGATGCTAGAGCTGGGATGGGAGGGAGCTGACTGCACTGCTCTCTGAAGGGCTGCCAGGCTGGACTGAAGTCTTGCACTTTACAAAGAGTCTGTGTATGTTCTGACGTAATTCCACAGCCCTGGTCTTCTGTCCCTTCACCTTCCATGGCCCTTTTAACAATTAACCCAGGAACCCACAGGGCGCTTACCGAACAAGGTGTCTCTCTCCGTAGCTTTTCCTAGATCCCTGCCCTTTCCCACCTGCTCCCTGCTTTGTGGTTGCCAACACTTTGCTAGTATAATTAAGGCCTCACTCTGATTTCACAGGTAGCTGTGGTACCCCGGGATGCTCCTAAACACCACTGCTGAGCGCTCCTAATTCTCAGTTGTATGAGTGAGATCAGAATCCGGCCCTGGAATTGTAAATTCCCCAGGGCAGGGACCTTATTTTCATTACTGGTAAGAGGAGGGGAAGGGATTTGCCCACTGCAATGTCAGAGGGTAGATGGCCCTTTGAAGACTCAGGGACCAGCCCAGCTCTGACAGGCTCCACAGTGAGGAATGAGGCACCTCAGGTTCACCCGAGGGAACTGGGAGGCAGTTAATTAGGCAGGGAAGCACCTGGGCATGATAAAAAAAATTAAGGACCTCAGTTAGAAGGGGAGTTCCCGAGAGGAAAGGCAGCTGCTAGAGAGCCGCCCTCTAGCAGGCTGGTGAACTGCTAACACTCCAAAGAAAGAGAAGCATGGCAAGCCTACAGGCAGGTGGTAGCAGCAAGGGGCTGACAAAGACTGGTTCTGGCTGATCCAAACGGGCCCCGAGCTGAACCCAGTGAGTTGGGCTGGCGTGGGCTCCCCTGCATACTCCAGCCAGGGGCTTATGGAGAAGAAGGTTCTAAACGCAGGAGACCTAGGGCTGAGTAACGCCTACTAGAGCCATGGAACTTCTGACTCCCCTTCACCCTGAAGGGGCCAGAGACTGCTGAGGATCTGGCCAGGAAAAGTCAGGTTGTAACAAGGACTTGACAAACACAGAGTTGGGTGTGATAGCATCAGGGGGTGGAGCCAAGTTGGTGTAGCTCCCCACCTTGCCACAAGGGGGATCTGATCAACAAAGGCCCCTGATTTCACCCACACAGTGAGTCAGTTTCAGAGCTAGGAACAGAACCCAGCTGTTCTGCCACCCAGTCTTGTACCTTAACCACAATCTCATCCTTCCTCCCAAGCTTCCTTGTGACTTTGTCCTGATATTGGAAACGAGAGACCCATTTGTTAAACATACTCTGCAGAGGGAAGGCTGCTCTGACAAATCTAACCCTGACTGTTGTGTGACTAAACTCTCAGCTCTAACCTGACGTGAACGTGGAATAATACATTGATTCCTTTAGCACTGGCTTGAAGGAGATGCTTTTAGTCTATGTGCCTCTCCCTGAGTGGCATTGGGTTGCTTTTCCTCTGTTTCCCATGTCTAGCTTCACCTGCCATTAGAGAGCCCCCTTTCACAGGTTGTAACCAGTTCCTATGTCCATCTTGTCCATCCAGTGACTCCGAGCTGAAAAGAGAACAAAGCCAGAACAAGAGCCGCAAGAGACCCGTGAAGGGTGCGCAGCTGCCTACCGAGGCGAGTCCAGCCAACAGCAGCCCCTCTGAGGAGAAGGCGGTGCAATCCAGGTGAGGGGGAAGACAGGCAGAGGGCCAATCCAGGTGAAGAGGGAGAGCCTGAGCACATAGGGAGAGGAGAAAGGAAGGCGAGAAGTGGGTGAGTGAGAAGGAAGGGGTTGAGATCAGTTTGTCTATCTCAGCTCGATCATCCAAGTGGCTCTGGGCCCATCTGAGAAGTGACTGCATTTCCCAACCCCAAAGTTTTCGAATGCTGGCTAACCTAAAGGCCCGAGGGCGTGTGTGGGGCTGTCCTGTGCTCTGAAACTACAGACCCCTGACAATAGCAGTCAGACCAAACCGCAGCCAATTCCCAGCGCAGAGCTGTCTACTACACCACGCTGGGTGTCTCAGGCCTGGTCTACACTTAAAATGTAGATCAACATGGGTACATCACTCAGGGGTGTGAAACTTGTCTCACCCCTAAGCGCCATAGCTATGCCGGCTTAGCCCCTGATTAGATGCAGCTAAGTGGATGGACGAATGCTTCTGTATACCTAGCCAGTGCTGCTCACGGAGGATGCTTAGCCACTGTGATGGGAGCCATGTGAGGACCTGAGCAAAGTCCGTTGACATTAATAGAGATTCTTTCCATTGACTTCAATGGTAATAGAGCCAGTAATGAAACTAGGGGACAGCGAGGGAGACAAGCGTACTAGTGTCTGGGTAGTCAGAGAGAATATAGTAGGGCTGAAGTTTGCCCATGTCACAGCTCCATTCAATGCAGGTGGAGCTGTCATGGAACCTGTTGCAGCTCCCTGATCCTGCGCCGTCTGCCCTCTGCATAACTTAGAGAAGCTCCTAAACTGCTCTAACTCATACCACTGGCATAAGATCCCTAACATCAATGGAGGATTGATATATCAGAGCTCTCCCCACAGCACCAGAGAGTGCAGGGAGGGTTCCACAGGAGCCATCCCTCCCTGGAGAGAGTTCCACTGACACAAAGGGATTTCTCCTCTGGCCATGTGGGGCCAGAACATGGCCTCTGTGTTGCCCAAGTGGTACAAAGTGGCCATAGTGTACTGCACTATCCTGCTCACCAGGGAAGAGGCGAATGGCTAAATAGGGCTTCAGTGTATAAGTAGTTACTCCTGGGGGAATTTTGCACCAAAATATTAAAAATTCTGTGCACAGTATTTTAAAATTCTGCATATTTTATTTGTCAAAGTTATACAATGTAATCGTGCCAGTTTCAGTTATTTTGGTAATTTATTTCAAATACCCGTAAGCAAGTATGTCTGTAACAATACAGACAACAACAACAAAAAGATTCAGGAAATGTTTTTTGACAAATAGATTCTCTACCGGGCATATTAATACAGAACTTTGATCATAATTCATTTTAACTACAATACAGAAATGTATTTCCCACACCATTGAGAAGCAGTACAAAGGCTTGGGGATTTCAGGGGTAATGAAGGAGCTGAGGGAGAGGGAAGTAATTGTTGGGAAGGATCCTGGAAGTGAATCTGGAGGGTTGGTGGATGTGGGTGGGAGAAGTATGGAACAGGTTTTTTTGCGGGGTGGGGATTGTTGGGGAACCTCCCCCATGCCTCTCCCATTCAGTCAGGCATATCTGCTGCCTCTGTCTCCATGTGTCCCTGCATCCCCACTCCCCATTCAGCCATTCATTTCTGCATATGTCCCCATGTGGCCCTGCACCCTTCCTCCCCCGCCCCCCCGTCTCCATGTGGCCCTGCACCCCCACTCCTATTCGGCCCTGGGCTCAAAGTTGTCACCCCACTAGCTCCTTTGCTCCCACCCCAGACTGTCCCCCTCCACTATCCCTCCGGAACGTCAGTCTGTGTGACCCGCCTCAACAACACCATGTGCCCCACTCTGCCCCCCTCCATATCCCGTGCCTCCTCACCTGGCACAGCACTGTGGGGAGGGCAGCCTCTGTCTTCTCCCTCTCCATGGCTGGTTGCTCTGACCCGTGAGTTAGCTGTCCTCTCTTCTGGCATCACATCAGCCCCTAGTGCGTGAAAAGTGTAATTGCAGTTTCCTTTCACTTCCCCATCAGAATCAATTTTTCTACAGGGGGAAAAGATATCTCCAGGAGGCATTAATTCTGCACTTGAGCAGTGGCTCAGAATTCCCCCAGGAGTAAACTAATGCTGTAGTTTTCATAAGGTTCCATCACACAATGATAATAAATATTCAGCAGTGTAGTGTCTGGTTCTCTGCACTGAAGCTGCTAGTGTGAATTTGTAATACTTTTATGCAGAAAATGATGTATGCATTAGCGTATTGTTTCTTAGATTATAAAGCCAGAAGGGACCATTGTGATCATCTAGTCTGACCTCTTGCATAATGCTGGCCACTGGACTTCCCTGAGTTAATTCTTGTGTGCACAAGAGCAGATCTTTTAAAAAAATATCCAATCTTGATTTAAAAATTGCCAGTGATGGAGAATCCACCACAACCCTTGGGAAGTTGTTCCAAGGGTTAATTACCCTCATTGTTAAAAATGTGCCTTATTAATAATCTGTATTTGTCTAGCTTCAATTTCCAGCTTTTGGATCTTGTTATACCTTTGTCTGTTAGATTGAAGAGCCCTCTGTTATTACATTTCTAGATAAATGATGCTGAAAATTTGCTCATTGCTGAGAAGATGTGTTGGTTTCAGTACTATGATGTTGATAGTTGAGTTAATCTCTGAAGATCCAAGGAAGCCAAGTTAAGCTTGGGTGGGTGCTGGAAACTGCTTGGGGTGACTGAGCCTAATGCAACCTTCACTGAAGTGAGAGGAATGACTTGCAATAAATCACTGCGAGTTGGGTCAGGTCCTTAGTGAATGATTAGGCTCCAAGTCACCAAAGTATTTAAAAGTCAGTACTGCCGATCTCAAGTGTACAGAAGTAATGAGTAACATCTCAAAAATCATGAATATTTGATTTGTGTGGATTGGGGGTTTTTTGGATTTTTCTAATAATAAATTATAGGTTCTTTAAATTTCTCTCCTGGTTTCTGAGCCTTTAAGTCACCCTCAGGACACATTTTCAACGTGTTTTTTTTCCAAACGTGAGGGCTAGAAACTTTCATTGTATCTAAATAAACGCTGGTGGTCGCTTGACTCTGGGAGCTGGGGCTTTAAGAAAAACACCAAATATCACAAGACTCTCAGTAAAATCACAAGGGCTGACAATGGTGCCTGTGCTTACACACATGGATAGTCCCATAGAAGTCAATGGGCCTACTTATATGCCTAAAAAGTAGCATATGCTTAAGTCTCTTCTTGAACTGCGGCCTTACATAACACCAGGGAATTAATTATAGACCCTAACTCTTTCCTTCCAGACTTTCTAATGTTTTTATTACACAGGAAGGTATAAAAGCATTTCCTTTGGAATTAGCTGAATTAAGTGTGAACAGTCTTCCATTCTCAACTATCTCTTCACGATTATATGTTTTTGTGGGAGTTATGGGAGAAAGAAGCCCCAAAATATAAACCCAAACAGATACCAAGTAAGTATTAACATGCACAGTAAAGGATCTTCTGCCTTTTTCATTTGTAGATGTTTTTGTGACTTCAGTTCTATACTGAAAGTCTATTAATGTCTGTTTTACAGGGGCTGTGAAACTAAGTAACAGTTTGCTACCAGTAGAGAACAAGTTCTGGAGGCATTAATCGAAACACAACAGAAAATAATGGTAAATTATATATTTAATTTGCGCTGCCCCTTCCTCTCCCTGCAGCATTTTAATTTTACCATTAGAGGTACACCATCTACTCAAAAATCATGCTTGTGTCTGAAAACTTTCAAAATCACTGGAAATAAAAATATTATTTCCCTCTAAATCTTTCTTTTCCCTTCAGTTTCTTTACTTTGTGCATTTGAGAGCACTCTGTTGATCGTCTTTTAGGGCCAGATTTTCAAAGGTGTGTAAGTGCTTAGTGGGATTTCAAACGTGCCTAACTAAATAGGATAGATATCAGACTCCCACTGAAATCAAATGTAGAGCACCTGAACTTTTCACACATTTTAAAGATTGACTGAACTTGTTTGTGGTGTCCCTTTAAGGTTTAAAGGAAGTAATGGTTTTGATCAAATAAGTTACACATTGATGTGTGGTTTTTGCTGTAGCCATTATGATACCAGCAGCTAGGGACATGGAGACAGAAAAAAAAAATATCAGAGGAGCAAGAGAAAGTGCATCAAGAGCACGTCGCATACTGGAGTGTGTGTTCCTTCGCAGATGACTCTCATCTCTTTCTGTAAGTACCGTCATCCCAATCTGATGACAATACCTGTGTGCAATATACAGTATTGCAAAGCGTTGAGCAGCCTCAACTTGCACTTGCAAAGTAAGCTGCATAGCCTGCATCTTACATAGTGAACATGGCAGATCATCCGTGATTTTTAACATCCGTTTTCTTCACCAAAATGACAATTTTGCTATTTTCTAACTTCTTTCTCTTTTCAGGACATTCCATCACAGACCAACAACAACAAAAGCGAAGTGGCTGCAAGATTTAAGAACATTTTAAATTAGATCAAACTTGTGACAGGGTCGGGCCAGATGGCTACAGGATAGTAATAAAAGGCAGATATATCAGCCCCAGGTTAAGTAGGTCCCTTTTCCCTGGGTGAGGTAACAGGGAAGGTTGCAGAACAATTAGGAACCTTCTGGAGACAATTAAGACAGACTGGCTGATTAGAATAGATTCATAGATACTAAGGTCAGAAGAGACCATTATGATCATCTCATCTGACCTCCTGCACAACGCAGGCCACAGAATCTCACCCAACCACTCCTGCAGCCAATCAAGAAGCTGCTAGAATCAATTAAGGCAGGCTAATCAGGGCACCTGGATTTTTAAAAGGAGCTCACTTCAGTTTGTGGTGTGCATGTGAGGAGCTGGGAGCAAGAGGCGTTAGGAGCTGAGAGTGATAACGCAGACTGTTGGAGGACTGAGGAGTACAAGCATTATCAGACACCAGGAGGAAGGTCCTATGGTGAGGATAAAGAAGGTGCTGGGAGAAGGCCATGGGGAAGTAGCCCGGAGAGTTTTAGCTGTCACACAGCTGTTCCAGAGGCACTCTAGACAGCTGCATTCCACAGGGCCCTGGGCTGGAACTCGGAGTAGAGGGTGGGCCTCCAAACTCCAAACTCCAGGTCAGACACAGGAGGAGTTGACCTGGACTGTGGATTCACGAAAACGCCCAAACTGAGGGCTGCCGTGAAGCTCCAAGGGGAACAAATCTGCCAATAAGCACAATACCCACCAAAGTAGAGGAGGAACTTTGTCACAGTATATGTGACCAAACTTTCTCTGTGTTTAAAAATATTAGATTAATGGGATTACGACTGTATCCTTCTCTCTTAACTGTATTATACCTTTTTGCAATACAGTGTGTTTAAAGACTTTTTATTGTTGGTAAATAATAACATTTAATCATGTTTGTAACATAGGATCATTGTATTTACTTGTAGTTATTTTGTGCGGTGAGGAGTACGTATATGAGATAACTGTCAAACAGTACAGAAATAAAATCATTTTCTGTCATATTTAATGTCCAGAGTGGATTTTTCTAAAGGTTTTTAGTGCTTTTTATTTTTATCGTGCAAATGATGGACTTATTCAAGAGCAGCTTGGTTCTACTGACCTAGTCAAGTTTTATTATCATTTCATTATTATTTGTATTACCGTAGTGCCTAGGAACCCTAGGATGACTGCATTCAGGGGATGTCCTACCAAATACATCCACACTGCATTGCAGGTCTTAAATTTTCTGTTTACATCTCTATTACAAGCCATCAGAGCTTTGAAATTGTAGAGTGATGCTTTCTCCTTCGGTCTTATTGTTTTGTCCATCTTGTTACTTGAATTAAAAACTGGGAAATATGATACCAAAAAAGCCATTAGGTTATGCCAAATGTTCATCAGGGGCTCTGGAGCTTCTGAGTCCTCTTGAAAAACTGACCACTAAGGCCTAATTTTCAGAAGCACTGAGCACTTGAGATTCTAGTTGAAAGTCAGGGGAGCAAGCTGTTCTCATCTCCTCTGGAAATCCATGACCATGAGTGCTCAGAAGTCAGGCAAAGGTTAAAGGCTGCATATGTAACCTCAATTCTGCCCTCTTGTGCAATAATGTTCCAATGTAGTCTATTAACTGTAGGAACACATGCTATTTCTAAATATAGCATTGTACAGTTTCTTTTTCCTTGCCATGTTAGACACACACATGTAGGATCTTGCGATGTGTAATAGTTTTTGTATGCCAGAAAAACTGAGGTTACTTATATAGAAATATGCTATCACAGAGACCCAAAGATGGTAACATTGTGCAAGTTGTCCTCTGCTTGCTTACTATCTGGTGAGTCTTGGAGCCTCTCACGGAGCAGGAAAGCACTGAGCCCTGCTGTATCTAGCACGCCTGTGGTATATTTAGGCTTGGAAAGATTAGATTGTTATTGTTCAACGTCAATAAACATCCATTTCATCATACATACACACAAACCAACAAAAAAAAAAATCCATTGAAAATTTACAGAAAGGCAAAGTACGAAAAATGCTGCCTGAGAACATTTTAGAGGTTGATTTAAAGCAATTTATATATTGTGGCATGATGTTGACTGTGTGTTTTTATAGTTACAGTAGAACCTCAAAGTTATGAACACCAGAGTTACAAACTGACCAGTCAATTAATCAGGCCCCAGTAGAGACAAAAAAAAAAAAGGGAAATACAGTGCAGTACTGTGTTAAATGTAAACTGTTAAAAAAAATAAAAGGAAAGCAGCATTTTTCTTCTGCATAGTAAAGTTTCAAAGGTGCATTAAGTCAATGTTCTCTTGTAAACTTTTGAGAGAACCATAACATTTTGTTCAGAGTTACGAACCATTTCAGAGTTACGTACAACCTCCGTTCCTGAGGTGTTCGTAACTTTGAGGTTCTACTGTATAAACCTTTAACTTTTGAACCCTAGTGACTCCAGCAGCCTGGGGGGTGAGCTGGACAGAGCCCTGTATCCTTTCGGCAGGGGTACCCTTTATCAGAAAGATAGGGGTGTGTACCCAGCCTACAACTAAAGCCTAGCAGTCTGTGGAAACAGCCAGGCCCCGATCCTCAAAGATGGTTAGGTGCCTATTTCCCATTGATTTCAATGAGACTTAGGCATTTCAAGATCTTTGAGGATCTGAGCACTGGCCTCTACACTGACCTGACCTTCAAGACATGAAATTTGTAGTCCTGGGTCAAACTGGAGCTCTTCCCGGTGTCTGGCAGGCATCGCTAGTGTCCATATGGGTGTCAGTGAGACTTGGAGGTCCAGGAAGATGCCAGAGCAATCTTAGGGTGGCCACCCTAAATTCTCCTTCCTGTAGGAGGAGGCTGGTAGCTGGAGATCCCTGCCCCAGAGAAGGCCAGGCAGCCTTTGTCTCCTCTGCCTTCTCGCAATGAGGGGAAGAGAGAGACGTTAATGGTGGAGATGGGGAAGGGTGTACAGAAAAGGAAAACACAGGACAGGGGAGAGGGAGACTACATGGGGAGAAAGGAGGAGGAGAGACACACCCCCTCTGGGAGCACCCAATCAGTTTGTTTCTTCCTTTGCAGCCGCAAGAAGCGGGGACAGCTGAGCAACAAGGATGTGGCCCAGATCGGCCCCAAAAGAATCAGGTAGGAAGCTGGCCTGGAACCCTGGACATGACTCTGCTGGCTGCCCTGCCCTAGAGCCCTTATAGTAGCAGAGCTGGGCTGCAGACCAGTCCCTTGTATCCCTGCTCCCCACGGCTGGACTCCCCATTCCACTGAGCAGCCGGTGGTGCCTCCTGCAAAGGGGAGTAGTTGGGCAGGGGTAGGATCTCCCGCTCTGTCTGCATTGGCCTCTTGGTGGGGGTTGCAGCGCCATTCCAGTTGGACTTAGAGGTGAGGAAAAGCCCCATTAGCCCCAGAGCCACACACCAGGGGCTGCTTCCCACAGCCCATTACCTAACAAACTTTTCAATGGCCTCACTGACGGGCAAACCTCTTACCACTTGGTCTCCTGTCCATTCCCCCTTGCAACCACCCCTCTCGTGTCCCTGCATAGGCTCACAGCCAGTGATACTCCCTGGTGTTTCTCGCATATCCACCACACCCATCGGTTGGCGTCTTCCACAGGGCATGCGACCCACCCCTTAGCGCCCCCAACCCACACACCTTCCCCGTTGCTAGTGGTGTGCTTTGTCCAATCTGTCCACCACTCCACCCCCAATACTTTGCACAGCTGACCGAGAGACCAGAGCAGATGGGCATAGATGGGAAAAAAGAGTTTGGAAAGGAGCTGGAGAGCCAGTGAGGCAGGGAGATGAAGGGGGCTTTATCCAGACGTCACAAGCTGCAGAGGAGAGGTGACGAAGGCAGCTGGTGAGCAGGGAAAGATCCAGGGAGGTGGCTGCAGCGGACATGGCTCTTGCCCCTGTGCGGGGAGATGGAGAGGAGAGGACAAGGGAGGGTTTGAGAACCGAGGGGCTGCTGACCTGCATCCTGGCTCCATCAATAACCTGCAAGATCCTCACCCCCTCCTCTCTGCAGGAAGGCAACCAAGCGCGAGATGCTCCTGTGCGACTTTGAGGGCTGCGGCAAGATCTTCTCCAACCGCCAGTACCTGAACGTGAGTGACATAGTGACCTGTGGGGAGGGGCACCTGACCCACCCCCAGCACCGCCTGGTCCCTGTTGGGATACGTGGCCTAAAACCATTATGGTATCAGCCCAGCTGTGGGCTTGACAATCAGTTCAGTGTGACCCATCGGTGAACATATGTTACGGGTCCCTCTCTGTGCCTGATCCACAGAGAACAGGAGTCTGCGATGGTCTTACCATAGTTCAATCTGTAGCTACTTATGCTTTTAATTCTGGACATCCCCATTTCAATCCCCAGCCCAAATGGGAGCTGTCACATATGCCCCGGTCGCTCCCATCTGACTGGCTGTTCAGTGAAATGAGTCCGTGTGTCCTCAGTTCCCAGCAGGACAAGATTCTATATCAGAGCTAAGGCCCCAACCCAGAGCCGATCGACATCCATGGTGAGATTCCCACTGATTGCAGTTGACTCTGGAACGTGATCCAGTTGGCCTCCTTTGCTGCAGCCTCCACAGACAGGCTGGGGGCTGAATGGGTCATAGAGTTATGGCTTCCCTCTGCTGGGTCCCACAGAGAGAGTTGAGTGGCACCAAGGAGACCCCCTGTACTGGGGCTGCTGGTCCAGCCCCAAAATCAAATCAAACATTCCCTCTGACTCCCAGTTCTATGGTAGGGCGCTCAGTTAGGTATGAACCAGGGAGGATGGACTGTGGGGTCTCTGGGCGGCAGCTGACCCTACCCTCTGCTTCCCCCCACCCCCAAACGGCAGCACCACAAGAAATACCAGCACGTGCACCAGAAGAACCTTCACCTGCTCTGAGCCCAGCTGCGGCAAGTCCTTCAACTTCAAGAAACACCTGAAGGAGCACGAGAAGCTGCACAGCGGTCAGTATGCCTGAGCACAGGGGCTAAAGCCTCAAAGCACCTGCCTTTCTGCTACGGTGCTGGGCTCTCCCTCCCCTCAGCACGCACACAGCTCTCTCAGGGCCCCTCAATCCAGATCCACAGGGCTTTAGTCCAGTCCTGGGCTCCTACACACACACACAAACCCCTGCCATACCCCTCAATCCAGCCCCACAGCTGCCCTTCAGTCCCAGTCCTGAGCTCCTACACAATCATCTGCCAGATGCCCCTCAATTCCAGCCCCACAATCACAAAGGTCTGCTAATGCATTTCAATCCCAACCCACAGGCCCCCTGGTATTCCAGCCCTGGGTTGGGCCCCCTCCCCCTTTCGACCTTTGCCGATACTCCCCAGTCCTGATACCACAGCCCCCACTACTATTCTAGCCCTGGGTTTCCCTCCCACCCAGCCCCAGCTCTGCAGGTGCCTCTCAGTCATGCCCTGCAAACAGCGCTGTTATTCTAGCCCCAGGAGCCACACCCAGTGCTGCTAATAATGCATCTCAGTCTGGACCCACAGAATCTTCTGCTGTTCTGGTCCTGAGCTCCCCCTACACACACAATTCTGCCATTGCTCCTCAATCCCAACCTGCAGGTCCCACTGTCATTCCAGCCCTGGAGTCACTACCAATATTTGCTCTGGCAACCCCTTGCTTTTTGCCCTTTGGACCTACTGCCCTTCTCTCATCCCTACCTTTGCTTCCACCTGGGTAAAATGCCCTGCCCTACATCCTGCTGCCCAGTACAACCAGTAACCCAGTCTTCTCCCCCCCTGCAGACAAACGGGATTACATCTGTGAGTACTGTGCCCGCCCCTTCCGCACCAGCAGCAACTTGATCATCCACAGACGCATCCACACGGGGGAGAAACCCATACAGTAAGTAGCAAACCCAACTGGCTTGCTCTGTGACTTGGGGTCTCTTCCTCTGTGCTGAGCTCTCTCTGTCCCTAAGAATTGCAGCACTGAGAGGCCAAAGGTGGAAATCCCTGATTAGGTGCCATCGATCCAGTTCTGGAGGATACAGTCCCTAGGGCTGTCCGGGCCCTCTTCCTAACTACACCCCAGACGAGGCCTCTCCCCCTCACCCCCTTGATGTCTACACCCATTAGATACTTGTAGACCAGAGGTCCCCAAAGCCCCCTTACCCCCCCCACTCCTCTCCCTCTTTCCATCCCCCCCCATCCACATCCCTCCCACCTTCCCTCCCCACCTCACACACTCTCCCTCCCCCATCGTCCCCACCTCACCACTCTCCCTTTCCCACCACCCTAGCCCCTTTCCCCACTCCTCCTCCTCCCCATCTGTCCCCAACCTCGACCCCTCCACACCCACTCCCACCCCACCCCCACCTCCCCCCTTCCCTCCTCACCTCCCTTCCCCAAGCTGCAGCACCACTCCAACCCGGGTTCTGGGGAGGACATGGGGAGGCGCAGACAGAGGTACGGGCGGGGCACGATCCTCAAAAGTTTGAGGAGTAATGAATTAGCCTGTTGAACTCATTGCCACAGGAAGTTGCTGAGGCCAAAAATTTAGTGAGATTCCAAAAAGGATTGGACATTTATGTGGAAACAAGAATATTGAGAATAACCATAATGAACAATAGCAATTTTGGAAGGGAGATTAAACCTCCTGCTTCAGGCTTTAAGCCTGTTCTCCAGCCATTAGAGCCCAGGACCAGACCCCTCATTTTACACCTTGCTCTGAAGCCTCTTGGGCGAGCTCTGGCAGAGAAGGGTAGGGGCCAGATTAGCCTACAATTCCTGTGTTCCTGTCTCCTCTATGCATCTGATTCCCTGCCCGGCTTTCTCCATACTCTCCTCTTGATCCCCTTCCCCACCCACAGGTGTGAGATCTGTGGCTTCACCTGCCGTCAAAAGGCCTCCCTCAACTGGCACATGAAGAAGCATGACGCCGACTCCTTCTACCTGTTCTCCTGCGACATCTGTGGCAAGAAGTTTGAGAAGAAGGACAACGTCACCGCACACAAAAGCAAGAGCCATCCCGAGGTGACTGCTGGCCCGGCCCAGCCCACGCTGGAAATGCCAGCACCTAGCAACAGGGACACGCCATCCCTGCTCCCCAGCCTCACTGAGGAGACACCAACCAAGGACCACCCGGATGTGCTGTGCCCACTTGCCACAGAGCAGCTGGAGATCCCTGCACCAAGCCATTGCAAAACGGAGAAGGCAGAAGGGCCGGTGTCCCCCATCGCAGCCTCCGCCGAGTAACAAGCCATGCTGAGTGGGATCCAGGTCTGACCAGCGCTTGGGGGCTGAACCACGGGGGATGTTGGCAGAGATGATCCCAGCAGGATCCTGCCTTCCAGCTGGACTCTGCTGAGAGTGGGACATAAAGCACTTAGCAGAGGGGTGGGGATAATGACTGAACCATGGCGGGGGACTGCAGCAGAAGATCTGAAATCCTGCCCAGGTACTGAGAGTATGAGGACAGGGAGGCAAAGGCAGCCCTGCGCAGCCTCCCCACACCACAGTCAGTAGAGCGCAGACTCTCCATGGGCCAAGAGGACTGACACCAGCACCTTCTCTGGAGCAAGGGGGCTCTGAAGAGAAATGCTGAGGTTCACCCTCCTCCAGGAACAGGCCTCGGCTTTGCTACTCTCAGCTTCAGGGCTTTGGACAAATCCTCAATAAAGAATTATTTTGTGTAATGCCTGGGGTGGGGAGAGCACCTTCTCTGATGGGGCTGCTGGTTCTGCCAGCCTGGGCGGGGCAGGGGTGAGGGTAGGTGAGCCTGTCTTCATCCCAATGGCTACAGCTCCTGCTGCTGTTTCCCTGCCATTCTCCTGTGAAATTACCCCATCCCCGGTTGGTGCAGCTCCTCTGAGTGGAGGTTCAGCAGCCACCCCCCGTCCAGCTGCAGAAAAGCCTGCCTGTGTTGTGGTCTTTCTATTAGAGCAGAACCTTGGCATCCTAATGGAGACTGTGAGCCCATTGTGCTGAGAGCTGCAGGCATGCACTGTGAGAAAGTCTATCCTGAAGAGCTCCCAGTGTAAATTGACCAAACAGACAAAGGGCAGGAGACAGTAAGGATTCTGATCCCCTCTTTTCGCATGGGAGACCGAATCACAGACAGATTAAGGACCAGATCTTCAAGGGTACTTAGACTCCTAAAGTCTGTGGGTTTCAATGGGAGTTAGGTGCCTATCTGGGCCTAAGGGTAAGATGTTCAGTAACACCTTGGTCCTGCTGAACATCAGTGTCTCCTAAGTCACTTAGACCCAGATCCTCAAAGGTATTTAGGCTCCTAAAATCCACTGAAATCGTGAGCATTAGGAGCCTAAATACCTCTGAGGCCCATGTCCTAGGCATGTTTGAAAACTTTACCCCAGGGGACTTGCTCAAAGATTGCTTATTAGGAAAGGGATAGATAAGAAGACAGAAAATGCCATATTGCCTCTCTATAAATCCATGGTTTGCCCACATCTTGAATACTGCATGCAGATGTGGTCGCCCGCCTCTCAAAAAAGGATATATTGGAACTGGAAAAGGTACAGAAAAAAGCAACAAAAATGATTGGGGTATGGAACTGCTTCCGTATGAGGAGGAGATTAATAAAAACTGGGACTATTCAGCTTGGAAAAGAAACGACTAAGAGGGGACGTAATATAGGTCTGCAAAATCATGATGGATGTGGAGAAAGTAAATAAGGAAGTGTTCGTTACTTCTATAACACAAGAACTAGGGGTCACCCAATGAAATTAATGGGCAGCAGGTTTAAAACAAACAAAAGGAAGTATTTCTTCACACAATGCACAGTCAACCTCTGGAACTCTTTGCCAGAGGATGTTGTGAAGGCCAAGACTATCACAGGGCTCAAAAAAGAGCTAGATAAGTTCATAGAAGCTAAGTCCTGCCAATGGCTATTAGCTAGGATGGGCAAGGGATGGTGTCCCTAGCCTCTGTTTGCCAGAAGCTGGGAATGGGTGACAGGGGATGGATCACTTGGTGATTGCCTGTTCAGTTTATTTTTTCTGAAGCACCTGGTATGGGCCACTGTCGGAAGACAGGATACTGGGATACATGGGCCTTTGGTCTGACCCAGTATGGCTGTTCTTATATTCAGAGAGTCTGTGACTGAGCCAGGAATTGAAACCAGATCTCACCGCTTCCTTCTGTTAACACAATGACCTCTGTTTTCTTCCTGGATCCTCTTCACTTATGTCACGGGAGAAGATTTCAAGTGATGGAGGCCCAACTCCTCCAAAGTGTTTAGGCGCCTAACTCCCAATGGGATAACTGCCTTGCATATTAACCAGGTTTTTGTTATGTGGAGTCAGCAAAAGCTCTGACCCCACTTCTCAAGAAAATACCAGTCCCTGGAGACGTGAGCCAGAGGGAAGAGGAGGATTTTCTCAGCAAACAAAGCTTCAAAGTTGAAGAACTGACCTCAGTGTCTGCGTTGTAAAATGTCACCTCCCCTCAGTCATAGTCCAGATGCACCCCGATCTCCCCAGGGTTCTCATTCAAGGCCAGAGGGGTGGCTGGGAGCTGAGAGCCCAGTACTGCCCTCGGTACAGCCCCACTGTCCCGATCCCTCCTCTGGCTTGACACTGAACTCCCCATTCCACCTCACCATCTCCCTGGCCACCCCTATGGCCCAGCCGTCCCAATCACCTACCTCCACCTCCCGGTAGTGACTCTCCTTGGAGCCCAGAACACAAGTATGAGTCAAATCTCTTGGGGATATCAGGCAGACTCTGCCTTGCGTTTCCTCAGCACATGGTCTTCTAGTCCTTGAAGAGGACGAGCTTGGGGTGGGCTGTCTGTGGACAGAGTCACTTCTCCCCGAGAGGGAGCCATACATTCACACTCAGGGCTTGTTCATGTCATGGAGAGGAAACCATTCCTCAGTGAGGGCTGGTCTACACTAGAAAGTTGGGTTGACTTACGTACATTGCTCAGGCGTGTGAAAAATTCACCCTGAGAAACAAAGTTAAGCTCACCTAAGCCCTGGCATAGACAGCACTATATTGACAGAATCATAGAATCATAGAATATCAGGGTTGGAAGGGACCTCAGGAGGTCATCTAGTCCAACCCTCTGCTCAAAGCAGGACCAATCCCCAACTAAATCATCCCAGCCAGGTCTCTGTCAAGCCTGACCTTAAAAACTTCTAAGGAAGGAGATTCCACCACCTCCCTAGGTAACCCATTCCAGTGTTTCACCACCCTCCTAGTGAAAAAGTTTTTCCTAATATCCAACCTAAACCTCCCGCACTGCAACTTGAGACCATTACTCCTCGTTCTGTCATCTGCTAGCACTGAGAACAGTCTAGCTCCATTCTTCCATTCTTGTGTTATAAGAAGAATTCTTCCACTGACCTAGACAGTGCTTCTCGGAGAAGTGGATGTACTCCAGTGACGGAAGAACCTCTTCCATTGCTGTAATTCGTGTCTACACTACAGCGCTGCAGCTGTGTCGCTATAGCGTTTCTAGTGTCTACATACCCTGAGTCTTCGCCAGGATGCATCTGCCTGAAGTCAATGGGGTTTATGCCAGCAGAACTGTGCCTGTGCTTACCGGTCTTAGGGCTTATAGAGCCCTCACACTGGACGCCTGACAATCATCCGTGGATTTTGTCCTTGCATGCACCCTGTGAAGTAAGGACAGATTGGTAACTGAGACACGGGGTGGTAATAATGGTTATGGATAGGATTTTGTCACGGTAAAATTATGCCTAATTCGCAGCACAGTCATGGTGAAAAATAGATCATTTCGAGCCATGGCAACAAAACTTTTTGTAATAAAGGCTGATTGTGAACATAAATGTGCATTTATGAACAGTAAAATGTTTCTGCTAAACAAACAGGGCTTGCCTATGGAAACATTTACATGTGCCTGCTGTGGGTCTTGCTGCAGCTCGTTAAGAGTTCATTACTGCACTTTGATCTAGTCCTCTTTGACACTGGAGCTGATCAAAGCGCATTAACCAGTTGTTACAGTTCATTTCTTTAACTAGGCTTAATACAATTCAATTTTTATTTTTATTTTCACCATTTTGACCGATAATATCAATGTTTATTTTTTAAGCAATTTTTTTCCTGATTTTGATCCATTTAAATTTTCACAATTGCAGGAAATGACGCCGGTGGGCAGAGAATTATTTAATGACATAGACACGCTGAGATTCAAAAAGTTAACGCTTTATCGACGGTTAAAATACAAATTGTTTACATCACATGTCACAGAATATCAGGGGTGGAAGGGACCTCAGGAGGTTATGTAGTCCAACCCCCTCCTCAAAGCAGGGCCAATCCCCCATTTTTGCCCCAGATCCCTAAATGGCCTGCTCAAGGATTGAACTCACAACCTTGGGTTCAGCAGGTCAGTGCTTAAACCACAGAGCTATCCCTTCACATACCAACTAAATATCCTTAAATCAGCAAATCACAACTGCTTTTACTATTCATGTGTGAGTGCATCTGTAACAACCCTAATTCAGAAGTCTAACTCACTGGAATTAGACTCTCCTAAGTTCTCAAGCAGCATTTTTCTTACTTTGCCTATCTGTACATTTTGATTATTATAGATGGAAATGTTCTTTCGTGGGTTTGTGTGTGTATGGCAAAATAGACGGTTGCCAACATTTCCAGATAGAAATTGAATCATTCCAAACCTCCTTTTAACTGTTACAGTGCTGTGATAAATAAATAAACATCAATATTATCAAATGGGACGAGATCAAAGCACATTAACAAACCACTAATGCTTGTAGGCAGGGTGCACAGGATATGTTGGTCCGCAGCAAGCTTGTTCTGGTTGACAAGCCTTAAGTTTTCTTTACTTTGCAAAAGGAAGCTATGGAATTTTATTGATTGATTTCTTTTGACAATACTTTCTTTTTCAAACACTGCTTAACTTTATAGTAACAAAATAACTTCCCGCTTTTCACGGTCAAGTTGAAATCAGTGGTAAAATGCACGGGTTCCGTGACAGGGATGATCACCTTGACAAAAACTGCATCCATAATAACAGTGAGATTAAGTTACTGGTGTTGCCGGCACCCAGTGCCGAGAGGCTGAACAACAGCTTGAGTGGTTCGTTACCATTGTGTGCTACACCCAATAATCACAACGGGGTGGAGAAGCAGAAAAGTTTATTTGCAGCTGCAAAAAGGTACAGGGAGAATAAAATCTCAAATCCTGCACACAGAGCAGGAAGTTACACAGGCTTTTATACATCCTTTTTCCCAGCATACTTATTTAATAGCAAGCTGCCCCAAGTATCCATATAGCCAGCCAATCCAGTTCCCAGCTAGTTCCCTGATTCTCTGTATCATTTGTTAAACTATACATAAAGCTGCTTTATTCAGCATTGTTCTTTTATATTTCCCCTGTTTGGCCTTGCTTAGTTTCAGGCAGTCTGACTCTGCAACATACTGTTGCAGATTCTCAGCATAACTGCTGTGTGTGCCTCCAGGCGGGGGGGGGCCAAGGACACTTGGGCCTAGTACGCAGAGCTGCTGCAAGTGCCTCCAGGCAGGAGGGGGGACCAAGGACACCAGGGCCTAGTGCAAGGGGGCTTCATCGACACTCGTGGTCTTCCATCCCCTCGAGTTACCTAGTGGCCATGCCCCAGTGTTCCCAACACTGGCCTAGCTAGGAATTGAACCCACATCTCCCAAGTCCATCTACCATAGCTATCTGGTCCTTGTTACCATAGTGTCTGAGTTCCTAGCTTCCACTGAACAGGGCCTAACTGACATGCCTAGAGTGACACAGGGAGTACGTGGTGGGAGAGGGAAGAGAACCCAGACCTCCAATGTTCAAGGATACTGCTCTAACTGCTGGATCAGCCTTTATTTCTATCTTTTTCTTCCTCAGTCCTCTCCAGATTCTTATCCCCACACTTTCCAAAAGCAGCTTCCATTTTTCAGGTGCCCACCTTAAGAAACACAAGGGCCTAATCCTCCAAGGGACTGAGTGTAACAATGCCCTTGTCAGGCCCTCCGTGAGGTTCAACCCCTCGAACTGAAAGCATGAGTAGCTCCTGCCTGTGCTAACGGACCAGGCGCTAGTGTCGTAAGGGTACTTAGGCATTGCAGTACCAAACTCCCTGCTACCTAGTGGGCTTCTCAGCCCCAAGTTAGGTCCCAGGCTCCCCATGCATTGTGTGAGGCCCCTAGGAAAGGGCTGTTCAGAAGCCAGCTTGCTGAGCAGAGAGTTGCCTAAACTAGCCCAAAATGAGATGCAGAGGAATGGGATATGCTGAGGGCTCAGATCCTCAGAAGTATATAGGCACCTAACCCTATTGATCTGGGTCTTCGGCACCTGACTGATGGGACAGGCCCTTCCACCAACTCAAGATTCTCAATCGTGAATCCTACCCTGGAGTTCGATGCCTAATCTTGTGAAAAACCAGGAAGAGAGCCCCCATTATAGCCACTAGCCTGGGGATTAAAGCATTCACCTGTGATGTGGGGCATCCCAATGCAAATCACTGCCCTGCCTGATTTGGAGCAGGGATTTGAGCCCAGATTTCCCACATCCCACCTGTGTACCCTACCGACTAGCTACTCCAGGGTGGTTTTCCAAATCTCTTCTGCTGGAGCAGTTCTATTTCCTATTAAATATGCATTGGGCCCGAGAAAGCAAGTGACAGAGACTGACTATAGCCAGTGCTCTAGGGCACTTTCCTAGGATGTCAGAGACTCAGATTAAATTCCTGCAACAGTAAATATTCTGGGTGTTCTAGCCGTTAGATGGGGACAAAGAACCACATAGAGTTACACGAGCACTAATAAAAAGAACAGGAGGACTTGTGGCACCTTAGAGACTAACCAATTTATTTGAGCATAAGCTTTCGTGAGCTACAGCTCACTGAATGCATCCGATGAAGTGAGCTGTAGCTCACGAAAGCTCATGCTCAAATAAATTGGTTAGTCTCTAAGGTGCCACAAGTACTCCTTTTCTTTATCCATCCTGGAGTAAATGCAGGCCTTAAGTCCAGGTTTGCGAGTGAATGTTTTCTGAGCACAAGGAAAAGGTCTCAGACACGCTGGTTTGGGCTCTGATTCTGGTTCCTTTGCTTTGGAAGTTTCTTTCTCTCTTCAGAGAAGAGAAACGGAGTCTGTGGCCGGATCCGCCGTGAGCCAGGTTTCTGTCCCCGCTGCTGGGGTGAGGAGGGAGGAGGTTTCCTTCGCTTTTCCCCACCAGGGGGCTCTGGGTATTGCTCAGGAGGGGAAGCTCCTAGGGCTCGAGCTCTCTCTGCTCAGCAGACCGGGGGTTGCGCTTCCTGGGTCAGATGCAGCCGCTGCTCGCTCCGTTGTGAGCTGAGGAGCTCCGGCTTCCCAGCTGTGCGGGGAGCGCCCTGCATTAACCCCGCTCTGCCGACCGCTGAGCCGGAGCCTGCAGGTGAGGGGAGAGACCCGGGGGAAGGGCCGGGGCCGGGCAGGAAAGTGACTCCGCACCAACGGCCCCTCCTCGCCCCATCTCTGCTCCCGGGGGGGTCTGCGAGTCCCAGAGCTGCTGCCCTCCCCGACCCCCCCGGCTCTGCCCCCCTGAGCGCCTGCAGGAGCCGAGCCAGCGCCGGGGGAGCGACCGCCCCGGGCCCGGGACCGAGTCTCCCCCCCCAGGGGAGGGGACAGGCGGGAGTCGGGGGCAGAGACTGGCAGGGGCAGCAGGAGCAATCTGGGGAGGGAGGTTCCCGGCTCCCAGCCCTGCCCAGCCCCATTCCCTGCAGCACCCCAGGGCCGATTGACTTTCCTGGGAACAAGGTCAGGAGCAGGGAGAGGAAAAGCCAGTTCCTGCCTCTGCCTGGTCCCCAGCTGCTGGGGGGATGCGCTGCCCGGAGACCGTGTCAGGGGGGATCCCCCAGAGCGGCTCCTTTCTCGGGTTTGGTTCAGACTGTGGGTTGAAATGCGCTCCCTCCTCGAGGGAGAGGCTGGGTCTGTGTTCATAGAATCATAGAATATCAGGGTTGGAAGGGACCTCAGGAGGTCATCTAGTCCCCTGCTCAAAGCTGGACTAATCCCCAACTAAATCATCCCAGCCAGGGCTTTGTCAAGCCTCACCTTAAAATATCTAGGGAAGGAGATTCCACCACCTCCCTAGGTAACGCATTCCAGTGTCTCACCACCCTCCTAGTGAAAAAGGTTTTCCTAATATCAAACGTAAACCTCCCCCATGCAACTTGAGACCATTACTCCTTGTTCTGTCATCTGCTAGCACTGAGAACAGTCTAGATCCATCCTGTTTGGAACCCCCTTTCAGGTAGTTGAAAGCAGCTATCAAATCCCCCCCTCACTCTTCTCTTCCTCAGACTAAACAATCCCAGTTCCCTCAGCCTCTTCTCATAAGTCATGCGTTCTAGTCTCCTAATCATTTTTGTTGCCCTCCGCTGGACTCTTTCAATTTTTCCACATCCTTCTTGTAGTGTGGGGCCCAAAACTGGACACAGTACTCCAGATGAGGCCTCACCAATGTCAAATAGAGGGGAATGATCACGTCCCTCGATCTGCTGGCAATGCCCCTACATATACATCCCAAAATGCCATTGCCCTTCTTGGCAACAAGGGCACACTGTTGACTCATATCCAGCTTCTCCTCCACTGTAACCCCTAGGTCCTTTTCTGCAGAACTGCTGCTGAGCCATTCGGTCCCTAGTCTGTAGCGGTGCATGGGATTCTTCCCTTCCTAAGTGCAGGACTCTGCACTTGTCCTTGTTGAACCTCATCAGATTTCTTTTGGCCCAATTCTCTAATTTGTCTAGGGCTCTCTGTATCCTGTCCCTACCCTACAGTGTATCTACCCCTCCTCCCAGTTTAGTGTCATCTGAAAACTTGCTGCGGGTGCAATCCACACCATCCTCCAGATCATTTATGAAGATATTGAACAAAACTGGCCCCAGGACCGACCCTTGGGCCACTCCACTTGATACCGGCTGCCGACTAGACGTGGAGCCATTGATCACTACCCGTTGAGCCCGACAATCTAGCCAACTTTCTATCCACCTTATAGTCCGTTCATCCAGCCCATACTTCCTTAACTTGCTGGCAAGAATACTGTGGGAGACGGTGTCAAAAGCTTTGCTAAAGTCAAGGAACAACACGTCTACCGCTTTCCCCTCATCCACAGAGCCAGTTATCTCGTCATAGAAGGCAATTAGATTAGTCAGGCATGACTGGCTTGTAGTTCCCAGGATCCTCCTCCTTCCCTTTTTTAAAGATGGGCTCTACATTAGCCTTTTTCCAGTCGTCCGGGACTTCCCCTGATCGCCATGAGTTTTCAAAGATAAGGCCAATGGCTCTGCAGGCACATCCGCCAACTCCTTTAGCACCCTCGGATGCCGCGCATCCGGCCCCATGGACTTGTGCTCGGGGCAGGTCACCTCCTCCCCATGCTGTGCTGCCCAGTGCAGTAGTCTGGGAGCTGACCTTGTTTGTGAAGACAGAGGCAAAAAAAGCATTGAGTACATTAGTTTTTTCCACATCCTCTGTCACTAGGTTGCCTCCCTTATTCAGTAAGGGGCCCACACTTTCCTTGGCTTTCTTCTTGTTGCTAACATACCTGAAGAAACCCTTCTGGTTACTTTTAACATCTCTTGCTAGCTGCAACTCCAGGTGTGATTTGGCCTTCCTGATTTCATTCTTGCATGCCTGAGCAATATTTTTATACTCCTCCCTGGTCATTTGTCCAATCTTCCACTTCTTGTAAGCTTCTTTTTTGAATTTAAGATCAGCAAGGATTTCACTGTTAAGCCAAGCTAATCGCATGCCATATTTACTATTCTTTCTACGCATCGGGATGGTTTGTCTCTGTAACGTCAATAAGGATTCTTTAAAATACAGCCAGCTCTCCTGGACTCATTTCCCCGTCATGTTATTCTCCCAGGGGATCTTGCCCATCAGTTCCCTGAGGGAGTCAAAGTCTGCTTTTCTGAAGTCCAGGGTCCGTATTCTGCTGCTCTCCTTTCTTCCCTGTGTCAGGATCCTGAACTCGACCATCTCATGGTCACTGCCTCCCAGATTCCCATCCATTTTAGCTTCCCCTACTAATTCTTCCCGGTTTGTGAGCAGCAGGTCAAGAGCAGCTCTGCCCCTAGTTGGTTCCTGCAGCACTTGCACCAGGAAATTGTCCCCTACACTTTCCAAAAACTTCCTGGATTGTCTGTGCACTGCTGTATTGCTCTCCCAGCAGATATTAGGGTGACTGAAGTCTCCCATGAGAACCAGGGCCTGCGATCTAGTAACTTCCATGAGTTGCCGGAAGAAAGCCTCATCCATCTCATCCCCCTGTTCCGGTGGTCTATAGCAGACTCCCACGACATCACCCTTGTTGCTCACGCTTCTAAACTTAATCCAGAGACTCTCAGGTTTTTCTGCAGTTTCTGCAGTTTCGTACCCGAGCTCTGAGCAGTCACACTGCTCCCACACTGCAACTCCCCCACCTTTTCTGCCCTGCCTGTCCTTCCTGAACAGTTTATATCCATCCATGACAGTACTCCAGTCATGTGAGTTATCCCACCAAGTCTCTGTTATTCCAATCACATCATAATTCTTGACTGTGCCAGGACTTCCAGTTCTCCCTGCTTGTTTCCCAGGCTTCTTGCATTTGTGTATAGGCACTTGAGATAACTCACTGATCGTCCCTCTTTCTTAGTATGAGGCAGGAGCCCTCCCCTCTTGTGCGCTCCTGCTTGTGCTTCCACCCGGTATCCCACTTCCCCACTTACTTTAGGGCTTTGGTCTCCTTCCCCCGGTGAACCTAGTTTAAAGCCCTCCTCGCTAGGTTAGCCAGCCTGCTTGCGAAGATGCTCTTCCCTCTCTTCATTAGGTGAAGCCCGTCTCTGCCAAGCACTCCTCCTTCTTGGAACGCCATCCTAAGATGTTGTAATAAAGTGGGGCAGAGTCAGGGTCCAAATTTCTTCCTCAAGGTCCAGACTCCAGAGACAATCATATATATATATATATAATCACAATCACACTCACAATAAATACATAAAAAAGATTGTGGGGTCCCCTTCAAAAGCATCTGGCAGGCCGGGTCTGGCCAGCGGTCCGCCTTGTGACTGCCCCGTGTCTAGAGCATCTGTCTGCAGGGAAAAAGCCAGGAGGGAATCGGGGCGTGAAATGGTGCCAAGGCCCTTTTGAAACCTCCCTTCTCGCCCTGACAGGCTGCAGAATCAGGTCCGGATTGTCCCTGGCTCCCTGGGGGGCTGGGAAGGGAAATGGCTGCTGTGGAACCAGCTCAGGTAGGGGATATTTCTGGAACTTATGGGGTCTCCTCCTGGAGGGAGAGGGGCAGAAAACGCAGGGGGGTGAGGAAGATGGTGGTGAGTGGGTGGCAGGGGGTGACAGACCTGTCCTGGGACTTGATCTGGAGCCTGGTTTATAGGAACAGGCCCACTGGGAGGAAAACTATAGCATGGGTGCCGTGGTATTCCCATCTCCCCCTCTGTCTGGCTTATGAGCAAGCATAGGTACTGACTTTTATTTTTTTCTGGGAGTGCTCCGCCCCCTCCCCTGAGGCTCCACCCCCACTCCGCCTCTTCCCACCCCCGCTCTGCCCACTCCTCAAAGACCCCGCCTGCTGCTTCTGCCCTTGCCCAAGCCCCTCCCCCAGCCTCTGAACAGCTGGTGGGTGCTGAGCCGAGGCTGGAGCACCCACGGAGTCGGCACCTATGCTTATGAGTCTTGCTATGGAGGCTGCCACGACCCCCTCCTCCCCCCCCAGCTGGGTGGGTTGTGAGGGTTGAACCTCATGATATAAAAGTGTGATGAGTCTCCAGCACCCATGCTAAGGCGACAGCCCCATCAGCTCGGCTGCAGCGAGAGACTCGGTGTGTAGCTGGTCCAAGTTTTTCAACCCCGGCGTTTTCCCAGCAGGACCAGGTGCAACAGGAGACCCCAGCGGCTGGGATGTGGGGAGAACCCCGTGCCCTGGGGGAAGGGCGTTGTGGGATCCCGGTCCAGCATCCCAAGGAGGAGAGCGAGGCTGAGGAGCAGAGCCCTGGCTGGCCCTTATCCCCGCGGACGCCGTCCCGGTCCTTGCTGGGATGCTCGGAGGGGGAAGATTGTCCATTGAGGACGGCGCAGACGCCTCCCCGGTCTCGGAAAGCGGCAGAAACGGCAGGCCTTGAGCAGGCGGTGCCGTCCCGTGAGTGGCCTCATGGGCACCAGGTTCCTTCGTTCCCCAGGGAGGCACCTGAGGCCTGCGTCTCCCTGGGGACAGGCCCCACTAGGGGCCGTGCCGAGGGCAAGGCTGCCGTTTCAGAGCAGGCCAGCGAGGAAGCCCATCGGTTGCAGTTCCGCTCAGGCGCTGCCCGGCCCGGAGAAGCTCCCCGAGAGACGCTAGCCCGGCTCAGCCGGGCTGCTCGGCTCTGGCTGCGGCCCGGGGAGCGCACCAAGGAGCAGATAGTGGACGTCGTCGTGCGGGAGCGGTTCCTGGGGGCACTGCGGCCGGACGTGCGGGCCTGGGTGACGGCGAGGGAGCCCCACAGCAGCGAGGAGGCGGCTGCGTTGGCTGAAGCCTGCCTGGGGCAGGGGCAGTTGACCCAGCCTGTTCAGGTAGCTTATACGGTGCGAGGTGGGGAAATGTTGCGGGAGCAGAGCCAAGCATGTGGCTGAGAAGGGATGGTGGGAGAGACAGATCTGATGGGAAATCAAAGGATAAAACGTCCCCTCCCACACCTCCCCTGGATAGGATATTGTGGGGCAGGGGCGCCAGAATAGGGGGGCCATGGCCCATCCACTTTTCGTCATGGGTCCCACCCCTGCCCTTCCTCTTCCCCCCGAGGCCCCACTCCCCAGCCAGGCTGGCAGCTGGAGCCCAGGGCAGGTGGAGGGTCTGCGGCTCCTCACAGCTGCGCGCACGGCTGTTATCATGGCCAGGCTGCAGCTCCGAGGCCCCCGCCAGAGCCGGGCTGGGGTAGGAGCCATGTGTGCAGCTGTGGGGAGCTGGAAGGTGGAGGTTCTGCGGTTCCCTAGAGGTGCCAGGGCTCCCCAGCCGGGCTCCAGCTGTTGGCCTGGCCGGGAGTTGTGGGCCTTTGGGGAATCGGTGGGGTCACAGTGGGGGCCCTCCGGTCCCCCCTCCCAAAGTTTGGGAAGACTCCACCGCCCCTGCTGTGAAGGCCTCAGCCTGAACAAGGTCCCACAGATGAAAGGAAGCGTCGTCGTATGGAAACATCCCTCTGAGACCTGGGCTGGGCCGGCAAAATCCTTGCCCAGCAAGTCTCTCTGGGCGCCCTGCATGAGGGGTCGTGGGCAAGTGCGTGCACGTCAGCAACAGTGGTATAGTTATTATTTACTCTGTGCATTGCTGAAGTCCCTAGGGACCCCCGCCCTATTATGCAGGACAGGGTGAAAACCTAGAACCAAGAGACAGCGCCTGCCCCCAAATGCTCACAGTCTTAAGATGAGGCAACAGCTGCATAGACCAGCGTCATGGCTCGGTGGAGTTTCACAGGCAGCGCCTCCCCATGAATCGGGCAGTATGGAGCACAGAGTGAAGGTGCTTGCTGCAAAAACGTTGGCATGACCAGCACGCCAAAGATAGACTCCTGTATTTTAAGGCCAGAAGGAAGCATTATGATCATCCTCTAGTCTTATCCCCTGCATAACACAGACTAGAGACTCCCACCCCAGGAGGCCTTCATAGAACCCAGCAACTTGTGGTTCAACTGGAGCCCAACTTTTACAGAGAGATGTCCGCTCTGGAACATAGGAGCGGCCACTCTGGGTCAGACCAAAGGTCCGTCTCGCCCAGTATCCTGTCTGCTGACAGTGCCCCATGCCAGGTTTATAGGTTTCAAGTGATGGTTTATTACCCTCACACTTCAGTTTGTCCCTTATTTTGCTGAGCTGTGAAACGAACAAATAACCTGTGGAAAGCTGGTGGAAGATTTTGTGCCAGGGTGGGGTTTTTTTTTTCCAATGTGAAGTGCCTTTTTTTGACAGACAGAAACATTTCTGAACAATTTTTTCATTTTGGTCAGTTTTTTGTTTGTTTAAGAAAATTTTGGTTTCGTTTCACCGAGACGCCTCGCCCTCCCCCCCCCACCCCCCGGCTTTTTATTACCTTGATCTTTTTTCCAGCGGGGGAAGGAGCTTTTAAAACTGACAGAAAAGTGGGGATTTTCCCACAGAAAGGAAACAGAAGTGTTTAATGTTTTTTTTTTCAAAAAAACCCAACCAAACCCTAAAACAGCTTAAAAAGGAAAATGTCAGACAAAATGCAACATTTCCATTTCTTCTGATTTTTTCCCCCCGCCAAATAAACTTATCCTCTTCAAACCTTCTGTATAATACTAACTGAACTAGTTGTCTTTAAAAAGAAAGATGCTGGGTTTTCTAAATCTGTTTCTCTCTGGGCAAGTTCAGTTCTTCAGATCTAGATCTGAACTCCGCAGGTCAGGTCTCAAGCTACTGTAAAGCAGTGGTTCTCAACCAGAAGTACATGTACCCCTGGGGGGACACAGAGGTCTTCCAGGGGGGTACATCAACTCATCTAGATATTTGCCTAGTTTTACAACAGGCTACATAAAAAGCACTACCAAAGTCAGTACAAACTAAAATTTCATATCGACAATGACTTGTGTGTAGAGCAGTATAAACTATACACTGAAATGTAAATACAATATTTATAGTCCAATCGATTTATTTTATAATTAGATGGTAAAAATGAGAACGTCAGCAATTTATCCCTAATAGTGGCTGTGACACTTTTGTATTTTTATGTCTGATTTTGTAAGCAAGTCGTTTTTAAGTGAGGTGAAACTTGGGGATACGCAGGACAAATCAGACTCCTGAAAGGGGCACAGTAGTCTGGAAAGGTTGAGACTCATTGCTGTAAAGCAAAGAATGCAGCTGTTCACTGTTATAGTTCAGGGCACCTCTAGTCCAGAGCTTGGGGGGCGGGCGGCAGGAAGGGGAGTCAAGATTCTCAAAAGTAAACCAGCAACACATGCATAAAACAGCACGGCAGGGTGGCACGGTCCCCCGAGGGAATGGAAGGAATCAAAGAGAGAAATTAACCTTGTGGACTGAGCCAGATGCTGAAGGTTCAGGTTTCATTTGGCTGGGTGAGAATAAAGAGCAGGAGGGCTCCATCTCGCACCTGCTGGATCCTGCATTGGAGGAATTCCATATGGAGCTTCCATAGATTTGCTTGGTCGGTCCCTGTGAACCCAGTGAGAACCACCTCAGTTTCACATACTAATGAGTGACCCTCATCCTGGGAGACTGAAGGTGCATTAGGTAGCAGAGGCATAGACACAGACTCCGTGGGTGCTCCAGCGCTCAAGTACCCATGGGAAAAAAAATAGGGGGTGCTCAGCACCCACAAGCCACATCTGTTGGGCAGGCCACGGTTGGCTGCCGATCAGCTCTTCAGCGGGGCCCCCGGGCTGGCTGCCGATCGCGGCAGGGGCTCAGGGGAAGGTGGAGAGGAGCCAGAAGTGGGCAGGCAGGGGGCCTTGGGGAAGGGGACTGAGAGGAGCGAGTGAGGGACAGGCAGAGGAGTTGGGGAAGGGGGTGGGAAGAGGCAGAGTGAGGGCGGAGCCTTGTGGGAAGGGGCAGGGCCTCAGGCAAAGCACTCACCTGGAAAAATAAGTCAGCACATATGAGCAGAGGGAATGGCCAGAGGCCTGAATGATGAGTGAGGAGATGTTAGACCTAGGAGTGAGTGAACCATTGAGCAGCACATGGGAGCAGTAGGGAGGAGATTCTAACTTGGGGATTAGAGGTACTATAAGCCTTACTGAAAGTAAACAGGAAACTAGAACAGTCTGGGGCAGGTAGGACTGTGACTGGGGAACAGGTCCTGAGTGGGGGAACTGTGGCTGTTTCAGGGGCTGGTGACCTTCGAGGAGGTGGCTGTGTATTTCACAGAGGAGGAGTGGGCTGTGCTGGACCCCAGTCAGAGAGCTTTCTACAGGGACGTCATGCAGGAGAATTACGAGAGTGTGACCTCGCTGGGTAAGGGATTCCTTGTTCCCTTGGGTATTAGAAGCTTTCTCTCCGCAAATATCACGTTCAGTGCTTAACCCTTCAGAGTAACACTTCACTTTTAATTTCTCTCATTCTTCGACTTTCCTCCCCCTCTTTTCGGGTGGAAAAGGACAGGCAGGAGAAAGTAGAACTCTGGCAGAGTTCTTTCTCCCAAAAAAGAATTACCATTTCAAAATATTTTCTAAAAATGGAATTGAAAGCTAAACTGTTTTGCAATGAAATAATTTTCAACCAAATCATTTTCTGAAGAGAAGTCTTTTTTGTTGAAAGTTTCATTCCCTGCTACAGCCTGGTATCTGGCCTAAGCGGTTTGATATTAGTGCTATGGCTAGATCACAGGGCATGTGCAGATCCCATCGTCTCCTCCAGGGGGCAAAGCGTGTCCGACTCTTCCAAAGGGTCTCCCACGTCCGTCTTCCGATGCCACGTCCCCACGGACTGGGGAGGGGCCAGGTTAAGTCATGGAACTTTCTTTGTAACAGACATTCCACAAACCATTCATTCACCCCATCCCACCATGTTCTTCCCCCCTCAGCAGGATTTCTCATTCCCAAACCCAGTGTGATCTCCCAGCTAGAGCGAGGGGAAGAGCCGTGGGTCTCGGATCTCCAGGGCTCCAAGGAAAGGGGGAGCCTGAGAGGTGCCTGCATAGGTGAGGAATTGATTAAACTAACACACACCACCAGCCAATGAAAGAAACAGCTGGGAATCCTCCAAAAGCCTCGTGTGCTCCCCCAGTTCTGCCTCATCCCACACGGGTCACGATTGTCCCCACTAGGAGTCCCCTCATGGCAGATGTCACTCCAGGCTTCCAACCCACCTTGACACCAGCTCCCACCCCACTGACCTCCCTTGCCCTTGAGAGTTCAGATGGGTGTGAAGGGAGGTTGGGGGGACTCCTCTCTGTCCTCTGGGGAAGGGATTGTGGGGATTTGGTTCCTGATTTCACAAGCTCGTTGATGGCTTCATTCCACAGAATGAGCTTGGCTGACCTCTAACGCCCTTGAACTGCTGCACTGGGTGATACCCCCAACTCTTTCCCATCCCTTACTGCACTGAATCCCACTGGTCCCAGCGTCCCTGTGACTCTCTGTCACTGGGCCCCTCTCCGTCTGTAAGAAGTGGATCCGAGGTGGAGTTTCCACTCTCTAGGACATAAAGTTGGTTTCCATGCACTATAGGGACCACTTTGCTGAGGAGTGTCTAGCTCTCAGTGTTTTCAGCAGAGAGCTGTTTCCCCGCCCCCCCTAGCAGAATGTGCAGAGATTTTGAGCAGCTGGGGAGCTGGCCCTGGGATTTTACCGCTTTAAAATGAGCTGGGGTTAAAAATCATGGAACGCTCTTCGTAAGAAATATTCCACGAATTCACCTCATCTCACTTGGTTTCTTTGCCTTGCGCAGGATTTCCAATTTCCAAGCCTGATGTGATTTCCCAGTTGAAAGGGGAGGGTGAGCCGTGGGTCCCCGATCTGCATGGCTGTGATGAAAAGGAGAGCCCGCGGGGCGCCTGTGCAGGTGAGGAACCAGCTCTACTGATGCACACCATCAGCAAGGAAAGGAAATAGCTGGCCTGCTGAGCTGCCCTCTACCCCCCAGAGCAGAGTTATCCTCAGCTGTGTCATGGCAACCATCAGCATGGCTTCCCACCCATTCCTGACTGACCCCTGGCAGTAGGTTCCTTCACCCAAGTGCCCGCACGTAGGCGCTGAACTCCATGGGTGCTCACCAATCAGCTCCTCCCCCTCCCCCCAGCGCCTCCCACCCACCACGGATCAGCTGTTCAGCGGTGGGCAGGAGGCTCTGGGGGGAGGAGCAAGGATGGAGCATGTTCAGGGAAGGGGGCGGAGCACCCCTCGGCCAATCAGAAAACCAGCATCTCTGTGCCCACCCGTTCCTGACTGACACCTAGCAGTAGCTTCCTACACCCTTGAGTCTTCAGATGGGGTGGAGGCAGAACTGGTCCCCTCCTCTCTGTCCTCTGGGGAAGAGTTTGAGCAGGAACTTAATTCTTTTTTCCATCTCCCCAGCTGTTACTGTGGTTTGTTTCCCTCCTACACATTCCCTTCTCTGAGGTTTCCTGTCTGGATTCTCTCTCTGTCCCAGCAGGTGAGGGCCCGGCCTGTGAAAATGCTCAACACCAGGGTCCCCAGCAAATGGAGCTGTGCAGGACGCCGTCCGTGAAATCCGAAGGGAACGCGTCCTGGACACCGGTGCAGGGGGAGCCGCACCCAACGTCATCAATGAAATGCGAAGGGGGTCATGAACAGGAGGACGTCTGTGCGAGCTGGGGCGGGTTAGAAGGGCAGGAGGGAGCCCAGCTCATTTCCCCCGGGGGAGGCAGCGAGGGCCACAGATACATCCAGGTCCTGCTGAGCCTCCAGCCGGAGCAGCAGCAGCGGCCGTGCCCCGAGTGCGGGAAGATCTTTGTTGACGGCGCTCACCTCCTGCGCCACCAGCGGCTGCATGCCCTGGAGAAGCCCTTCCCTTGCCCCGACTGCTGGCGGGGCTTCCTGCGGCGCTGCGACCTGGCTGTCCACCGGCGCTCCCACACCGGGGAGATCCCATTCCCCTGCCCCGACTGCGGGGAGGGCTTCCTGCGCCGCTGCGACCTGGCTGCCCACCGCAAGAGCCACATGGGGGAGTGGCCCCACCAGTGTCCCAAGTGTGGGCGGCGCTTCCGCAAGCGCTCCGTCCTGGTCAACCACCAGCGCACCCACCTGCAGGACGATCGCTACAAGTGCCCCGAGTGCGGCCAGGGCTTCAAGTGGCCCGGCCAGCTGGAAATGCACCGGTACAGCCACATGGAGGAGAAACGGCACACCTGCTTAAAGTGCGGGGAAAGCTTCAGCCAGCGCTCCCACCTCCTGGCCCACCAGGGCAGCCACCTCGGGGACGCCCCTTACCACTGCGCCGACTGCGGGAAGGGCTTTGCCCAGCACCCAGACCTCATCCTCCACCGGCGGAGTCACACCGGTGACCGGCCCTTCCACTGCCCCCAGTGCGGCATCGGCTTTGGCCGCAGCTCGGACCTCAGGAACCACCAGAGCGTCCACGCGGGCCAGCAGCCCCACAAGTGCCCCGCATGTGGGAAAGGCTTCCAGGAGAGAGCACACCTGGCTGCCCATCAGAAAAGCCATGGCGGGGAGGATTTCTACCTCGGCATCGCCTCAGTTTGGACAGGGTGAGCGTCAGCTCACCGGTCAGGAGACGGCAGCAGCCGGTCGCGAGTTGGTAGTGACGCCCTGGCTCTGCCTGGCCTAGCAATCACCAGGTGAAGCCTTGATCCGCACAGCCATGTGCTGAGCTGCCACTGGGGAGGGGATTGTCAGCGAGCCGCCATGTGCCCGGAAGGCCATCGCTGTTTGTATTCGAGTACCATCTACGCCCCAGCGTGCATTGAATAAAATTCCTGCCAGAAAGCGTGTACCAGCAGTATCCCTGCTACTAGATTGATCTCTGAAGCCCTTGTCTCTATCGTTTAACTTTGCCATTCTAACCATTCAGCCTGTCAGCACTCATGGTCGGGGCAGCCTCAGCTTGAGGGGCTTGAAACTCTCAAAAATAAATCAACTCCAACAGCTTCCTCGTTTTTGAGCCAATTTGGGAAGAAGGTGTGTTGCCAGGTGAAAGTTTCACCTTTGTTTCACCAAGGTGGTGCATGCTGTGGAGCAGGGACTTGAAATTTGGTGGGGGTGGGTCGCCCTCGTGTCTGGACCCTGCTTTTTGCCACCCCTGTAAAAAAAAAAAATTCACCTGAATTGGCCACAGTTATAAGCCACCAAACAGCTTGCACGTGCTCAGTAGAGGGGACTTGAAGAGTTCTGCAGCTAAATGCTGGCAAGACTTTGTCTGCACTGAGCATGTGCCAGCCTCACAGGCTAACTAGATCACAGAATCATAGAATATCAGGGTTGGAAGGGACCTCAGGAGATCATCTGGTCCAACCCCCTGCTCAAAGCAGGCACAATTCCCAATTTTTCCCCCCCCAGATGGCTCCCTCAGGGATTGAGCTCACAACCCTGGGTTTAGCAGGCCAATGCTCAAACCACTGAGCTATCCCTCCCTCAGATCTCCCCCCAAGGGAGCATGCTCTGAGCAGGATGGCCCATGTGTCTGCTCCTCGCAGCAGGAGTGCCCACCTAAGGTCCCTCTAAGCCGTATGGCTGCACAGCAGCCCCTTAAGTGCCGCGGTGGGGAATGATGCTTCTCCCCCAGCCTGGACCTGTCATGGCCAAGGGAGAGGCACCTCTCCCATGGCTCCAACCCAGCCCTGCCACTGCCAGGGGAGAGGCACCTTTCCCCGCCCCAGCCCAGGTGCTGCTACAGGGAGAGAGAGCTGGGGAGAGTCCTCTCTCCCCGCTGTAGCCCTGGGGCAGCCTGCACCCCAAACCCCTCACCCCATGCACTCCAACCCTCTGCCCCAGCCCTGAACCCCTTGACCCCACCCCTGCCGCACATAACAAAATTCATTCCGCACATGCGTGGGAAAAAATAGAGGGAACACTGGTGCCCACTATTATATGGCACCCACTGGCCCTCTCTTGCTCCCCACGTAGTCACATGGCTCAGTTTATGGACCCTGACCCAGTCTTGAGAAGAGCAAGCTAGATGTTCCCTTTTCTGCAGCCTTGTCTGCCCGTCGTGGCCGCTGCCCCAGCTAGTGGTCACACCCGTGCAGGCACCTGCCAGCGCACCTTCTGTTTGCGTCTCAGGTGGGCACAAGCAATGCTACGATACGCCGAACCTCATCGGTGCTAGGAGTGTGCACCGGCGCAGCTACGTCCCATCACAGACGAGGCCTCAGCCAGATGTGGAAATGTACTCCGCTTACCTGGCATTGAGACGGGCAGACGGAGGAGCCATCGTGTTATGCACTCATGAAGGCACCAGACGGGGAAAGCTGGGTTCTAGCCCCCCTCAGTGCCCTTAAGCCTGTCATGAAAGCAGCTCAGCCCGGGTTACAGCGGGGCAGAGCTGCAGTCCCTCCAAGGGGACATAGCAGTGCTCAGCCCAAGTGCTGCGAATATCCATTAGTGCCTGTGGATTAGCCATCACACTCAGCCCACCCCTGCTGTCCTCACCAGCTGCAGCGGAAGAGGGAGGCTCCTGTCTGGGGCAGCTCTGTTGCCTGCATAAGGCTGTATGCCAGGCAGGCAGCAGTGAAATACTTAACCCCACAGGAGCTTTTTCTATTTGCACAGTGAATTTTATTTTCCTACGAAACAGAGTGACAGTTCAGAGAGACACAGCACTGATGGGGTTACAGAGGCTAGAGTGAATGCTGGGCTGGACTTAGATACAAGCAGATGGAAAACCCCTCTGGTTAACTTTACCCTGTTGCATCTGTGTTCAACCAGGGCAACTCCTGAAAGCAATGGGGTTTAGGGCTGGAATCAAATCTGGACTAACTCCTGGAGAGTCTGCTCTCAATTGACACTGGAGTCACTCCAGACTGCTGTAACTTGCAGTTGTGCTAGTGTAACTCAGAAACATCATCCAACCTCAGGGGGAACCCCCTGGGTTCGATTGCCCTTGCTTATCTCACATGTAACTCCAGAATGTGGCCTCTAGACAAGTTGGCTCCATTTACCAGTGGATCAGCAGGTTATCACAGACCACCACCCCCCCCAGCCCTTAGGTCACCTACAGCTCATGCCCAACAAGCCTGACCAAAACTGAGGCCCTGGGCTTCCAGCAGCCTCAATAAGGCCCCAAAACACCAACATCAAGGGCAACCCTATAACACTCACTAGGTATTTGACAACATAGGGAAAGCAACAGAAGGGGAAGCAGGCTTTACGCTTGTTACGTGCTAGCGGCCAGGAGAAGGGGTAACATTGTGTTATGAGAGAAAGCATCCTATTGCTGAGGAAGGGGAGAGGGAATTGCAGCAGCTACATTTGCAAAAGGTGACCTGCAAAGTGCAAAAAAAAGGCCCAGCTGTTTATGCCTTCTTCCCCCACACAGCTTGATTTACCACTGAGACATCAGGAGAATCAAGTCTAGTCTTCTCTGGCAGACTTACTGGAGATTTCAGAGATGTGGATCAGGAGCTCAAACGAGCAGGTGGGAGTGGTGAATCATTAACAAAGAGAGCTTTTCTCCCAAGTGTGTGTAGGGCAACTGAGTTAGTGGGGTGTTAAAAAAAAACAACCTGCCTGAATAACCTAATTCACTTCATCTCAAGCAGGTTCTTTGGTATGGCTGCCAGGTCTCCAGTGGGCTATAGTCTTCCAGGACAGGTGGGGGGGGGAAGGAGGGGTGGTTGTTAAAAAACCACCTAGGAGCGCAAGTCACATTGAAAGGCAATATAACTTGTGCTCCTCAGCATCTAAGCAGAGATTCCCAGCAGGCCATGGCATTTTCCAGGGTAGACAAGCTCTGAATTTCTAGTGTAATGAGAAGAGAAAAGTTTGGAGGAAAAAGATCATTTCAAACTTTCAGGCTCTCTTTACGCCTCAGAAAGCAGCAAAAAAACAAAAAAAACACCCCAACAACAACAAAGAACAGAGGGGCCAGGACCCCCACCCTTTGCAGGTCCCCTTAAGGAGCAAACCAGGCCAGGCGTGTCAGTTGCAAAGTGTGAGGGAGGAGCCCACGTAGAAGAGCCAGAAGAAAGGGAATATTTTCTCCGAGAAGGCGGCCGTGAAGGTGAAGATGGGGGCCATGTTATCAGCGTTGTAGAATGCCACCCACCCCCCTTCGTAGTCCAGGTAGACCCCGATCTTCCTGGGCCTCTCGCAGAGGGACAGGGGAGTCTCAGGGGAGGTGAAAGCCTGGTATTGGTCCCAGTTCTTGCCCTTCCAATTCAGCCCCACCGCCCAGATCCCCTCCTCGGGCGAGAAGTCGATCTTCTCCTTCCTCCTCACCGACTCCCTGGCAGCCCCCACGGCCCAGCTGTCCCCGTCCCCAACTTCCACCTCCCAGTAGTGCCTCCCCGAGGTGAAGCCCTCAGCCCCCAGGACAGAGAAGGAGTAATCGAATCTCTTGGGGCTGGCCGGCATGTCCTGCGGGGCGCTCCTCAGCCTCACGCTGCGCTTATCCTCGGACAGCACCAGGTAGGGGTTTGCGGTGTCCAGGTCTAGAGTTATATCGGCTAGAGAGAGGGAGACAGGGATTTAACAGCAGAGCTCATCCCTGGGGACAGCCCCTTACGCCACCAGATCTTCCCTCTTTTAAGCTGTGGTACTATCTGTGGCCGGGCAATAGCCTGAGAGATGAAGGAAGCTGCAGGGGAAAGGGGAGGTCTCTGGGCCCAGAGACGCTGCATGCTCTTACAGTTTCCAAACTGTGTTTGCCTTTAAGAAAACAGGAGATTCAGGAAGAAATTCAGGGGGTCTGCTGAGGAAATGCAACAGGTGTTTGTCTCACCCTGCTTCGCAGCCGTCAGCATTTTGTTTCCTTATCCAAAAGGGAAACACCACGCTGAGGGGAGATTTTGGCTGAATTCCCTTCAGCCATCTCGCCAGGCCTACGCCCGCACTGTACTGCCACAGCAGCAGGGCTAACATCAGTTTCCAGCATTGTTCCTGGGGCACTGGAAGAAGTCAGTGGAGGGAGGCGGAGGCTTACCTGTGTCGTTCTCCAGCTCAAAGCGCAGATTTTCTAGGGGAATGAAAGGAGAGAGAACTGAGCCCTGGCTTTCATGGGGATGAGCATCTAGACCAGGTTGAAAAAGTGAAACAATATCCACGAAAGCTTTCCTTCTGCCACTGAACCGGGGTAGGGAATGGGAAACAAGTTTTTCCATTACACTGGAAGACGAAGGAGTTTCCATTTTAGCACAAAGGCCACTGTTGGAAGACTTTCAACGACCGCTTAATATCCCGTGTCGAAGGCAGTGGTTCTCAACCTGTTTACCATTGTGGGCTGTATATGCAGCTCCCTATGGCCTGGTCTACACTAGCAGGTAAGTCGATCTAAGTTAGGCAAGTTATGTAACTTAAGTCAACTTACAGCACTGTGTTATGTTGACAGGAGACGCTCTCCCATCAACGTAGCTTCTGTCTCTTGGAGAGGTTGAGTACTGAAGTTGACAGGAGAGCTCTCAGCCCTCGACTTACTGCATCTCCACCAGATCCACTAAATCGATGCTACTGCATCAATCGCAGTGGCACCGATTTAAGACAAGCCCTGTGTGTTATGTGGGCTGCATCCACACAATATATATACTACCTGTAGGGCCCTGAGGATGTCCCATGGGCCACAACTGTGTGCCGATTGGGCCACAAGCCACCCATGGGCCATGGGTTGATAACCTCTGGTCTAAGGCTTCATTATAGACACCACTCAGAGCTAGGAAATGCCCAGTGAAGGGGAAAATATCCTATCCCTTGCAAGACACACTGTCACCAGGTCCTCACAACCCAACTCAGAACAGTGCCTTCCACAGCAAGGAGTGAGAGACATGCTACACACCCAATTCTTCCAACTCTTGCTATAAAACAAGCCCCCAGAGAAGGAGCAGCACATGTGGACGGAGCATATATGTGGCGGTAGGGGGTCACTGGAGGAGATGTGAAGTGATTTTGAGGACCACATGCTGCAACCTTAACCACGGGGTTGCTGCTGCTTTAGTCTAGCAGCGGATTTTAAAATTACAGGGTGGCAAGACAGAGACCACAGGCACAGGTAAGGCCGACTGATATAAGTTAGGGACTGAGAGACCAGGTAAGCTACTGACGTAACAGCCCTCCCCAATATTACGGCAGCTATGAGCAGAGAAGACACAGATGCTTCCATTCACCTTTGAACTCCAGCAGGACTTCCTTCAGGACGGCGCTTTTCTGAGAGAAACTCCTGAGTCTTTTTTCCAGCTCCGCAAACGCAGGCTCCGGCTTCTGAAATGTCCAGTTCTCGCTGCTGGAGAGAAGGAGGACGAAGGGTTAGAAACAGGCCTGAGGCCTGGCCCCAGGAAACCTGGGAGCTCTCAGGCCAGTTTGGATCTGAGCTTTGCAAGACAAACCGGGTTGTTGTGAGTCATGTGACTACAACCCCATGCTCCGAATGGCCTGGAACAGGACTTCGGAGGGCAGGAATGGAGACCCGTTCGAGAGCTCTCTGAATTCCCACTAGCCCAGTTCTCTCACCCTGGGCTACTCCAGGAACAAGGGGCACCAATCCCAGGGTTATGTGGAAAGAAAGGAGACAGAGATCCAGAGTGGGTGTATCTCACATAAAACACTAGGACCATAGACAGCACAGGTCTCCAGCGGGGATAGAACCTGGGCTCTCTAACACCAAAAGACAAAGCCCCTACCACAGAAGCTAAAGGAGTAATCCCATTGGCTGTCACATAGCAGCTAGCCCCTCCCCTCCTTGCTATGGCAGCTGCTAGCAGCACACATGATCACGGGCGTTGCACTCCGTGGCATTCAGTGCCGTTTCCAAGCCGAGCTGAGCGTGAAGGGGAGGGAGATGGAACCCAGGACTTACCCGATCCTGCTGCCGCCGCCACCACCCTAGAGAGGAGGAGAAAGAAGAGGAAGTCAGTGAAATGTGTCCCAGACTGGGGAGGCCTCTTGGACCTGCAGGGGAGTCCCCACTGGAGTCTGACACACAGGCTCCCGTTCAGAGAGCAGTTGCAACTTCCAGCTCCTTCCAGCTGGGATGTTTGCTCTCAGCAGCCTCAAGAAGGGTCAGCTGGGAGGTGGCCACAGGGGAAAGCATCTCCCCATGCACTTTACAAGAAGAAAAGATTTTCTGCCTTGGGAGCGAGAGCCCCATCCCCCCAAGTCTCCCTATCCTGCTAAACAGGGAGCTCAAGCGGTGCGGAAGGATGAGCTTAGGGGGGTGGGGGGCATTACAGTGCAGCATTCCTGGCTCCAACTCTTTGTCCTGCCACTGGCTTGCTTGGAAAGTCAGTCCTTTTCTGCCTCAGCTTCCCTATCTGTAGAGCAAGCCTAGCAGTGCCCTTCTAGCTTCGAAGCTAAACTCACTTGTGTTTGCAGCGGGATTCCAGATGACTGGGAGGAAGGTGTTCAATGGGCACGTCTACACTAGAGCAGCCCAGCTCTGGCACTGCGGCTGAAGCACCGTAGCGTAGACACGTCCTACATCAATGGAAGGTGTCCTCCTGTCGCTGCAGGTAATCCACCTCCCTGCGAGATGGTAGCTAAGTTGATGGAAGAATTCTTCCATCCACCCAGCTGCATCTCTAGTGGGGATTGGGTTGACCTAATTACATCACACGGTGCAAAATTTTTCACAGCCCTGAGCAATGTAGCTAGGTCCATCTATTTTTTAGTGCACACCAGACCTATGTGAACAGGGGCCGCATTCAGATCTGATTCATACCAGTGTCAAGCTAGACTGACTCAGTAGATTTACACCAACCAGTCCCACTTGAGAGCACAATTTGTCCCACTGAGCTATTAACATGAACGCTGGCTGAAATTTACCCCATGATTTTTTTTTTATTTTTTTTTTAAAGTTCTCTTTTCCCAACTTTGAGATTTCATGGATGTTTTTAATGCAAGAAATCTCAATTGTTTCCTTTTTTGTAACAAACAGCTTTTGAAGCTTTTAAGTTCAAAATCCGGCCATGGAACAAAATGGACCAAAACAAATGCATTTTTTTAAAAAGTGTTCCTTACTGTGAAAATGAGATGATTAAAAAAATATATAAATTTAAAGGGGGAGTGGGTTGACTGGCTCCAGGTAGCATCTAGATAATGTATGTGTCAATTATGTTGTGAACTCTGAATCCTGGACTCCGACAGGGAATGGATCAGAATACATATGACAGACACATCCCTGTCGAGTGAAGGAGTTTGCAGTGGATCAGGACTCCTGGGTTCTACTCCAAACTCTGGGAGAGGAGCCAGGTCTATAGATGGGGTATCTGGGAGTCAGAACTCCTGGATTTTAGTCCCAGCACTGCAATCAATTTGCTTTGTTCCATGCCTCATTTTCTGCCTTCCTCTAATCGGCAAGATGGAAGATAATGATAGTAACCCTACGATATCTCTCACCTGCGCGGACTGGCTCACCGGCTGCTGCCCCGTCTCTCCTCCCTTCTCAGTGATCAGTTTGTCAATGTGGGAAATTTCTTCTGAGAGTTTAGAGACACTCTCATCCCTTCTTTGGGCAATGTCTCCGTCGAGCGCTTCCAGCCGGGACAGCAGGAACTGCTCCTTCTCCTCCAGGAACCCACGCAGCTCCTTACACTCAGAGAGGATCTTCTGTCTCTCGGCTTCTGTCTGTTTCTGCAATTACAGAGAGGGTGGCTCGGTAACAGACCATAAGTAGTCTCTCAGCAGATGGGGAGACTTCTTTAAAGAGAAAGGACAGAGCAGGATCCTCAGGGCAGGATCAAGCCCTTTAGCAGTAGCTCATTAACCTGTCACTTTTCCCTAGTCTCTGCATCTTGTGCCCCAAAATCTGAGGTTCAGTTTCTACTTTTTCTTCCCTGACAGTGGCAAAAAAATAACTGAAAGTGTGAATGATGCAGTAAGGGTTACTTGAGTCTGCAAACAGCCTGAAACAATATCTCTTAGAGACATGAACTTCACCATGTATCAAAATCATGTTAACTCTGAAGCCTAGTGATTACAAGGTAGAAGTCATCCTTGATAAACATTTTACCGCTGACCACAATAGGCGACAAGGGAGAGGGATGATCCTATTATGAAGATATGCTCCATGCACTGCAAATGGAATTTCGTTTGGAGATTGTGAGTGGGCAGAGTTCAGGAGAGACCAGAAGCCCTCACCTTTCCACAGAAGCCCAGCCGTGGAGAGGGAGGTGACCTGGAGTCTGGCCAGATGACCAATTCCTCATCCCGGTGAGGGAAGAGGAAGGGGAGGGGAAAAGGGGCACAGAGAAGGAACTAAAGTGAAGTCCGTATCAAAGGGGTAGCAGAGCGTGCGTGCCTCCTCTGTGATGGTTTCCAGCAGCCCAGAGAACAATATGGCTGCTGAGCTCTGCAGACAGGCAGTTCTTAGAGCAGACAACAGCAGCAGCATATGCAAGGGCATCTGCACCTTTGCTAACAGCAACAGCAGGGATTTTTCTCAAAACCTTGTCCACCTGCACTGAACCAAACTCTCCAGCCAGCCAGCCAGCCCATGTTCTCTCTCCCCATCACCCCCAGGGGCTACAGAGAAACAGGCCCTGCGTTTGCCGTCTCACTCAGGGCACTCTGATCCCAGGCGAACCTGGGGTGGAGGGTGGCTCTGGGCACATACCAGCAGCTCCTCACTTCTCTTCTCCTCATTGGCTTTGGCTTCTTCTCTGTCTTTTCTCAGACCGGCCAGATGCTCTTGTGGCGCCTCCTGGAAGAAGCAAGAAGGATCTTTGTTGGGATGGTTTCGCCACAAAGTTCCCAGATTTAGGAACACAGGAATTGCCAGTCTGGGTCAGACCAGGAGCCCATCTCCAGCCTCCAACACCAGCTTCTTCACAAGAAGGTGCAATAAACCCTGCAGTAGGGAATTATGGGCTAGTCTGCCCCCAGGCAAACCTTATTCTAGCTCATAGAGCAGAGGTGGCCAAACTCTGGCACGCGGGACCATCCTGCCTGGCCTATGAGCTCCCTGCCGGTGAGGCTAGCCCTCAGCCCCTCCCGGGCAGCATGGGTGGCAGGGCTGCGAGCTCCTACTGCTCTGAGCAGCACGGTAAGGGGGCGGGGAGGGGGGGTTGGCTAAGAGGCAGGGAGTCCCGGGGGGCAGTCAGGGGACAGGGAGCAGGGGGTGTTGGATAGGCGTGGGAGTCCCGGGGGGGCTGTCAGGGGACGGAGGTGTGGATAGGGGTCGGGACAGTCAGGGGACAGGGAGCAGAGGGGGTTGGATAGGGGGTGGGGTCCCAGGGGGCAGTTAGGGGTGGGGGTGTGGATAGGGGTCGGGGCAGTCAGGGGACAGGGGGCGATTTGATAGGCGTGGGAGTCCCGGGGGGGTCTGTCCCTCTTGTTTATTTTCTTTCTAAACTGAGCAGCCCCAGCGCTGACAAATCCTGCCCATTCACAAGTCTCTCTGGAGTCCAGATCATGCTCTATACCCACCTGTAAACCCCTTCTATTACTGCTTGACCAGAAATGAATACAGTATCCCAGGTGAGGGCATCTCACGGATTTATAGAATGTTGTTAAAATACCGACCTTGTTATTCTTTATCCTTTACGTAGCCCAACAAATCCAGGCACAAATTCTGCCAAAAACACATACAGCTTCCCTAGGAGCCATTGGGACTGCTCACTCGCATGTCTGAGGGCAAGACGTAGGCCTCTCTGGGACTTTGTTTCTTAGCTACACTTCATGCTCAACCATGCAGATGTGAGAAGAGGAGACAACAGGAAAAATGGATCTTCAACCGGGGGAGGGGGGGGAAGGAAAAGGGACAAAAAACCCCAGGCACAATTGGAAATAGAGGAGCCCTCTTCGTTTTACCTCCCAGACAGAAATTCCGTCATGTATTGACATACCAAAAAAATCCATCCTGCCCAAAACAACCCACTGCAACCAAGTCCTAGCCCCTCCAACCTACTTCAAAAACCGAGTCCAAATCCACGCATCCCTTAAAACCCCAGCTCTGAACATCCCCAGACAGGGCAGCAAAAACACTGCCCCAAAATTAGCTCCCAGCCCCTGCCTCCAAATCTCCCACCCCTCCTGACATACCCTCAGTCATTCCAACACGACACCCAAACCGATCCCCCCAGCTCGGAACACCCCTACGTCCAGCTCTGCTCCTCCCACAACTGGAACCAAACATTGCCCCCCTCCCCTCAAACCCCTAGACGTAGAATCATAGAAATGTAGGGCTGGCAGGGACCTCAAGAATTCATCTTATCCCTCCCCACGCTAAGGCAGGACCAAGTAAACCTAGACAATCCCTGACAGGTGTTGGCCATTCCCTCCAATGGTGGGGATTTCAAAACTTCCTTTGGGAAGCCTATTCTAGAGTTTAACTACCCTGACAGTTAAAAAGTTTTTCCTAATATCTAACTGAAATCTCCTTTGCTGCAGATTAGGCCCATTGCTTCTTGTCCTGCCTTCTGTGGACATGGAGAAGAAATGATCACTGTCCCCTTTATAATAGCCCTTAACAGAACTGAAAACTTATGAGGGTTTTCCTCCCACTCTTCTTTTCCCAAGGCAACATGTGCAGATTTTTAACCTCTCCTCTCAGGTCAGGTTTTCTAAACCTTTTCTCTAACCTTCGCCCCCCACCTTAAATCCCCAGCTCCAGAGATCCCCTCAAATTCTCATAAAAATCCGCTTCCGATCCAGACTTTGGGGCTAGCATTTAGGCCTCACCCTGCAGTAGGAGCCTGTCTCAGTTACAAAGGCCTGCAATAAATTTGATTGTGTTTGTTTTATGTCACTAATCATTTCTGTTGCCCTTTTCCGAACCTTTTCCAATTCCAATATAGCTGGATGTGGCGACCACATCTGCACGCAGTATTCAAGGTGTGGGTGTACCATGGATTTATATAAAGGCAATATGATATTTGCTGTCTTATTATCTACCCCTTTCTAAATGATTCCCGACATTCTGGTAGCTTTTTTGACTGCTGCCGCACATTGAGTGGATGTTTTCAGAGAACTATCCACAATGACTCCAAGATCAGGCTATCCAAAGAAAGCTGATCAGAGGAAGGAAGGAAAATAATCAGAGCAGCCCGTTTCCTTCAGCCAGACGCAGGACTGACGTGCTTCCTTAACACCCGATTTAGATTCCTTCTTAATACAGGATTACCTTGCAGAAGATAAAACACACCCTGGCCTGTACAAGCCACCCAAGAGACACTTCTCCCAGGCAAAGCCATACCTCACGATTTTGCCCCTATAGGGTTGCCAATTTTGGTGGGATGTATCCCTGGAGATATCCCTGGAGGTTTAACTGCATGCCCGAATCTTGAATTAAAGATTCACCTTTAATTCCTGGAGACTCCAGGTTGGAAACCCTAGCAACACACCAGCTCCTGGCACAACGTGTATAGCACAGGGGAGTGCTGAGAGCCACTGAACCAAACTGGAAACCCCGTACACCAGCAGTTCTCAACCAGGGGTCCGGGACCCCTGGGGGGGGGCCGCAAGCAGGTTTCAGGGGGTCCACGAAGCAAGGCTGGCATTAGACTCACTGGAAAGAAAGACGAAGCCCCCCCACAGAGCTGAAGCACAGGTCCATGAGCCCGGCCACCCCGGGGCTGATGCTGAAGCCTGAGCACCATCGCTTTGCCGGCCCCCTCTGGTGTGGGGCCTCCATCAACTGCCCGGCTTGCTACCCCCTCGGCCGGGCCTGGCCGTCATATGCAGAAAAGCAGCTGTTGGGACTCTCCGGTGGGCCGTGGAGTTTATAGCATGTTGGAGGGGGCCTCGGAAAGAAAGCGGATGAGAACCCGGGCTGTATAGGATGGAAACCGCTTCAAGCCGGGGGGTGCGGACGCACCCCTAGTTCCAGCACCGAGGCACCGGGCGGCTCTTCCTACCTTACAGCCCCGGGCAGCCTCTTCTATGGGCACCACCCGGTGGGCTCGGTGGTCCCAGGACAGGTGGCAAACCAGACAGACGGGCTTCCGGTCCTCCTGGCAGAAGAGCTTCAGGGCCTCCCCGTGCCGCTCGCACACCCCGGCCCCGGCCGCCCCCGGCCCGGCGGCCGCCTGGGCCCCGAAGCGCTTGACGATCTCCACGATGTTGGCCAGGGGCCGGTTGGGCCGGAAGAGGCGGTGGGCGACCGGCTCCCGGCACTGGGGGCAGCCCAGGCCGCGCTCCGAGTCCTCCCAGCACTTGGTGACGCAGGCGCGGCAGAAGTTGTGCCCGCAGTCCGAGACCATGACCGGGTCCCGCAGGTACTCCAGGCACACGGGGCAGGTCAGCTCGTCCTGCAGGCTGCGGGCCGGCCCGGCCGCGCCCTCCATGGCTGCAGCTGCAACCGCACAAAGGGCTGCAGGGGCCGCCGCCGAAGCCGCCTCTCCCGCGCGGCCCGGGCCCGAGCCCGAGCGGGGCCGCCGGGCAGGGGTGGCTCTGCACCGCAGCGAGCGCAGGCGAGCCCGGAGGAGATGCCAATCGCCGGGCCGGCAGCCGAGGAAGAGGGAGGAGAGGGGAAGGCTCGCCTGGGTCCTGCAGCAATAGACAGCGCAGCGCTCTCTCGTGGCTAGCTACGGGCAGGACTCCTGGGTTCTCTCCCTGCTCTGGGACGGGAGTGGGGTCTAGTGGTTAGAACAAGGGGGCTGGGAGTCAGGACTCCCGGGTTCTGTCCAGGGCCCTGGGACGGGAGTGGGGTCTAGTGGTTAGAACAAAGGGGCTGGGAGTCAGGACTCCCGGGTTCTGTCCAGGGCCCTGGGACGGGAGTGGGGTCTAGTGGTTAGAACAAGGGGGCTGGGAGTCAGGACTCCCGGGTTCTGTCCAGGGCCCTGGGACGGGAGTGGGGTCTAGTGGTTAGAACAAAGGGGCTGGGAGTCAGGACTCCCGGGTTCTGTCCAGGGCTCTGGGACGGGAGTGGGGTCTAGTGGTTAGAACAAAGGGGCTGGGAGTCAGGACTCGCAGGTTCTCTCCCTGCTCTGGGATGGGAGTGGGGTCTAGTGGTTAGAACAAGGGGGCTGGGAGTCAGGACTCCTGGGTTCTCTCCCTGCTCTGGGACGGGAGTGGGGTCTAGTGGTTAGAACAAAGGGGCTGGGAGTCAGGACTCTTGGGTTCTGTCCTCAGCTCTACAAGGGGAGTGTGGTTAGAGCAGCAGGGGGCTGGGAATCAGGATGCCTGGGGTCAGAGGTGGACTAGGGTTTTCTGAGGCCCTTGACTAGAGCAAATGGGGGCCCCTCCCCACCCCTTCCATCTGCAGTCCCCTCTGCACCCCCCGCCCCCGGTGCTCCTCCTGGAGAAATGGGGTTGGGGCATGGGGCTTCCCCTGTTTCCCAGCAGGAGCACCAGGCAGGTTGGGGTTAAATGGGTTAAAAAAGAGGAGCTGGGAGTCAGGACTCCTGGGTTCTATCCCCAATTCTGGGAGAGGAGAGGGGTTTAGTGGTTAGAGCAAGGGAGGGCTGGGAGTCAGGACTCCTGGGTTCTATCCACAGCTTTGGGAGGGGAAAGGGGGTCACTGGTTAGAGCAGCAGGGAGGGCTCAGAGTCAGGACTCCTGGGGTCTATCCCCAGCTGTGGAAGGGGAGAGGGGTTTACGGGTTAGAACAGCAGGGGACTGGGAGTCAGGACTCCTGGGTTCCCTCTCCAGCTCTGGGAGGAGAGTGGCATTTAGTGGTTAGAGCAGAAGGACCTGGGAGTCAGGACTCCTGGGTTCTATTAATGGCTGGGCCTTTGACCCCTCTATGGCTTTTGGGCAGGTCCCAGCCCCTCTCTCGGCCTCAGTTTACCTGTCTGTACATTTCCCATCAGGCTCCTCTCTGCCAGGGTGATTATTTCTCTGGATTTTTGGTTGGCAACTTGTAAAAAAAAAAAAAAAAAAAATTATGCCTCTTGAGGGAGGAATCAAAGGCCCAACAAACCCACCCCACCAATCCAGTCTGCTCTGTTCACTAGCCAGCCAGCTCCCCAATCCCCCAGGCTCCCCTACTACCACTGTCCTTCCCCCTCATCAGCCCCATCCCATTCCCCAATCCTCTCCTAGCCTACCATTTGTCCCCAGCCAGACCTGACCCCCAACAACCCTTCCCTGACCAGCCAGGCCTGCCCTCCCTCCTCCAACCCCTAGGAAGGCAGGTCTGCCCCCTCTCCATGCCAACCAGCCTGCCCTGCCAGCCCCAGCCAGATTTCTCCTAGCTTGGCCTGACTCATCCCCAACCCTCAGCCAGGCCTGACCCTGTTCAACCGGCCCGCCAGACCTACCCCCCACAACCTCAGTCAGCCCCAAAGCAGCCAGGCCTCCTCCCACTTTGCCCCCAGCCAGACCTGCCCCTCCCCCGCCGCTGGACATCTGGGGTAAGCCCACCAGCAACACATGGCCAGGCCTCTCTCAATTTGGTTTGCCCCCTGCCAGGCCTGACCCTTTCCTCAGCCAGTCCCCTGGATCTATCCCCCTCACTCAGCCACGGTTGACCTGGCTCCCCATCCACCTCAGCCAATGCCCTAGGCCAGGGGTTCCCAAGCTGTGGCTGCTAGGGTTGTCACCTCTGAGGTATAAAAGACCGGGACATCCGAACCACTTGGTCTGGGCCAGCTACCTCAGAAAAGGGGCTGTGCTGGGTGGTGGCCACCCTAGTGGCTACTGGAGCTTGAGTGTCTCTTAGCCACCCCCACCACCTTCCAAACTCCCTGCCTCTCAGGGAGCCATGCCCCTAGTTCCCCACTGGCTTCCCCCAGGCATACTCCAAAGGAATCGGGCTCTCAGAAGTACACAGCCTTGGCTGCAGCTCTGGGTTTGAATTCAAATTCAATGGACATTTCAATCTTTGGTGAAAAAACAGAGGAGGGGATAACTGAAAATACATTCACATTTTCCCTCCTGGTTTTCAAGGCCTCGGTGCCTTCAAATTACCAGTTCATGGTGAAATTCAACTAATGTGTCTTCAGTGGTTTGAATGGAGTAAAGAACATGTGAATGTCACGTATCAGTGCAGACAAGTGGCTAAACTGAGGAGGATCTAAAGTTTGAAGATCTGGAGTCTGAGGGTTTGTCTACACAGGAAAGCTACTGTGAATTTAAAGCTTCCTCCATTGGGTGATTGTTTCCTGATGTACCGTATAGAGACTCAAACCAAATGTATACCCCTAATAATAATTAATAAAAACAGTAAGAGGATGAGAAAATGCCACCATGGCTATACAGCAGAGCAAAAGAGACAGTTAGAGGCAAAAAGGCATCCTTTAAAAATTGGAAGTCAAATCCTAGTGAGGAAAATAGAAAGGAGCAAACTCTGGCAAATCAAATGTAAAAGTATAATAAGACAGGTCAAGAAAGAATCTCAATAGCAACTAGCTAAAGACACAAAAACCAACTGCAATTTTATTTAAGTATATCAGTTGCAGGAAGCCTGCTAAACACTCAGTGGAGCCACTGGATGATCACAACGCTAAAGGAGCATTTAAGGAAGACAAGGTCATTGTGGAGATGCTCAGTGAATTCTTTGCATTGGTCTTCACTGCAGAGGATGTGGAGAAAATTCCTCACATCTCTCACCTGAAAAGAATGGCTCAGGTGTGTGAACTGTCCCAGATTGAGGTGTCAATAGAGAAGGTTTTGGAACAAATTGATACATTAAACAGGTAATAAGTCACCAGGACCAGATGGTATTCACCCAGGAGTTCTGAAGGAACTCAAAGATGAAACTGCAGAACTACTAACTGTGATATGTAACCTATCACTTAAATCAACCAATGTACCAAATGCCTGGAGGATAGCTTATTTAACACCGATTTTTTTAAAAGGCTCCAGAGGTGATCCTGGCAATTACAGGCCAGTAAGCCTAACTTCAGTACCAGGCAAACTGCTTGAAACTATAGTAAAGAACAGAATTATGCGACACATAGATGAACATGATTTGCTGGGGGTAAAGTCAACATGACTTTTGTAAAGGGAAATCATGCCTCACCAATCTATTAGAATTTTTTGAGAGTGTCAAAAAGCATGTGGACAAGGGTGACTCGGTGTACTTGGACTTTCAGAAAGCCTTTGACAAGGCCCCACGCCAAAGGCTCTTAAGCAAAGTAAGCAGTTATGGGACAAGAGAGAAGGTACTCTCCTAGATCAGTAACTGGTTAAAAGACAGGAAATAAAGGGTAGGAATAAATGGTCAGTTTTCACAATGGAAAAGGGTAAATATCAGGGTCCCCAGGGACCTGTACTGGGACCTGTGCTGTTCAAATATTTATAAATTATCTGGAAAAGGAGGTGGCAAAGTTTGCAGATGATACAAAATTACTTGGGATAGTTAAGTCCAAAGCTGACCGAAAAGATTTACAAGGGGATCTCACTAACCTGAGTGACTTGGCAACAAAATGGCAGGTGAAATTCAATGTTGGTAAGTGCAAAGAAACACACATTGGAAAAAACAATCCCAACTATACATACAAAATGATGGGGTCTAAATTAGCTGTTACTACTCAAGAAAGAGATCTTGGAGTCATTGTGGCTAGTTCTCTGAACACATCTATTCAATGTGCAGTGGCAGTCAAAAAAAAAGCTAACAGAATGTTATGAAACATTAGGAAAGAGATCATAGAATCATAGAATATCAGGGTTGGAAGGGATCTCAGGAGGTCATCTAGTCCAACCCCCTGCTCAAAGCAGGACCAATCCTCAGCTAAATTATCCCAGCCAGATAGGATATGCCAGATAGCTAATAGGAAAGAAAATATCATAATACTACTATAGAAATCCATGGTATAGATTCATAGATACTAAGGTCAGAAGGGACCATTATGATAATTAAACAGTATGCCCACACCTTGAATATTGCATGCAGTTCTGGTCACCCTATCCCAAAAAAGATATAGTAGAATGGGAAAAGTTACAGGAAAGGGCAACAAAAAATAATTAGGAGTATGAAATAGCTTCCATGTGAGGAGAGATTAAAACAATTGGGACTGTTCTGCTTAGAAAAGAGATGACTAAGGGAGGATATGATAGAGGTCTATACGGTCATGAATGGTGTAGAGAAAGTGAATAGGGAAGTGTAACTGACCCCTTCAGATAACACAATGACACTAATAGGAAGCAGGTTTAAAACAAACAAAAGGAAGTATTTCTTCAAACAACACACAGTCAACCTGTGGAGCTCCTTGCCAGAGCATGTGAAGGCCAAAAGTGTAACTGAGTTCAAAAGAGAATTAGAGAAGTTCATGGAGGGTAGCTCCATCAATGGCTATTAGACAAAATGGTTAGGAACACAACCCCATCCGATGGGTGACCCCAAACCTCTGACTTGGCTGATGGACTTGGCTGAAAGTCACTGATTTCTGTGCTAACAAGTTCTGTCCAGTTTTGGGCCCCACTCTTCAGGAAGGATGTGGATAAATTGGAGAGAGTCCAGCGAAGGGCAACAAAAATGATTAGGGGTCTGGAACACATGAGTTATGAGGAGAGGCTGAGGGAGCTGGGATTGTTTAGCCTGCAGAAGAGAAGAATGAGGGGG